CCATCTCTCTCCATCACAACAGCTGTCAACTCATTTTCAAGTTCCTTGAAAAATAATCCAACATTACATGCCAAATCTAATTGAAAAACTGTAAATGGTAAAATTGTAATAAAACCACATTCCTTTTCAGCACTTTTAACGATATAGAAAAGTTCATTGTTTATTTTTAACCATCTTTTAAGAAAATAAATCATTTATCCTTACTTCTTAACATTCAACACAAAATCACCTTCAGTTTTGAAATAAAACCATTGATGTAACAGTGTTATGATTAATTGCTGTTTTAAGTTTGACTTAATTTAGAGCAATCATATTTAGCCATTTCAAAGCTCTGCAGTATTCAGATGACTTTTAACGCCAGTAACTCTATAGAGTGGTTGTAACATATTAATCACTTCTGAGAGTTTAAAGATCAATCTAAAGCAACCAGCTTACTTTAACTGTATTTTCATGTTCCTGCTCCAATTCATTGTACATTCCCCGCAAATCGTCATTTTCCTCAAGCATCTTTTTTCCAAGTTCGGCAGCCATTTTAAGTTCTTTATTTTTCTTTAGAATCTGATTTATCCACAGATGAAAGTTATAACAGTAAAACAGGCCATCAATTTTAATCACAAGATATTCAACGTTACCACTTTCAGTATTTAATACTGGTATTTGTTTCTCTTGATGTGTCTTTAATCTTGCTAATATCAATGACATATATAATTTATTTTTAATCCTTTATCTCCCATGAGTGACTAACAGAGAATTTCTCCTTACAATATCAATACAATATCAAGCATAGAAGTGATGAGAATAAAGTAAAATACCAATTAAGGGATTATTAGTTGATCCAATAACAAACTCTCCAAATTGACATCATAAGAATTGTATGGCAGATAGTAAGGAGAATTACTAGTGAAATCTTGGGAGTTAACGGGTTAACAAAGAAGAGCCACCAAGAGAAACTCTTTGAAAAAGTGATATAATTATAATTATTACTATTATCATCATAATCATTGCTATAATTATTATTATTATTATTATTATTATTATTATTTGCATTATTATTATCATTGTTATCATTATAATAATGATTATTATTATTAAGTTTGGGGCTAATCATCTACTCAACTGGTTTTCAGCTATTGGTAAGCAAAACTGAAAGAACCATCTTCAGTTTAACCTAACATTTTATGCCAGGCTGAGCATAATTTTTGCAAGGAGTTTCACAGTAGCTAATGATTGTTTTGTTAATTCATATTTTGACCTTTTATTACCTCCTGAAGATGATTATTCCTTTTATGTTTGGTTGAGTCTTTAGCCAGAATATTAAACAGTGAAGTGTAAAGCTGTGCTCTAAGAGGAACAACTAAAGGCCTAAAGGCTCTGGTCTTGGAAATCTGGAATACATAGCTCTAATAAAGGTACTTCAAATCATCAAAGTTGTGCAAGTTGCAAAGAGGCAAACAACCATAATGTGCAGGTTTTGCTAGGGCATAGCCCTGAAAAGTTTATCAAAAATAAGTCCTTGTTTCAAGAAGTATTGCAAAACACCCATTCCAGAAAAAAAAGACCAATGTAAAACTGCTTCTTAAAATAGCATAATGATTATAATTATAGTTTAGGGAAGTAATAAGACAACCAAACCATGCACTTAAAGTGATATGCCTCCCACACAAGGGAAATCTGATAACTAGAGGTATAATCAGCAAATAATTGGATCCATGTCTGTGTCTGAGCAAATGCACACCTAAGTCTCCTTTAAGAGAACATCATCCCTGACAAGTGACCAGTTGACTGTCTTTAGGTTCGGGGAGGGGTAGGTGCACAATTGCTCACATTACTGACATTGATCCAATAAATTGTGGTACTTAAGGGATTGAAAAAAAAATCATTTTAAAGAACCTTGTCTTTTTTCTCAAACTCTGCATGCACTCCTCTCGATAACCAATCTCTCTTTTCATTTTCCAGTCTCTGCACCTCATTTTTCTCGTCAGCTAATTGCGACGTCAACTCTACACAAGATAAATAAATATTGTTATGTTAGTGCTGCTGATACAGCATACTGAAGTTGTAGTAGTTTTCTTTTAGTTTTAAAATAGTATACATTTCTTTAAAAATTTTGCCTTCAAGTCAAATCTACAACCACAGAGGATTTTCTATAAGTTTAAAAGTTACACAGGAATGCTGCCAAAAAGAAAACAGTATGAAGTTATTTAACAATAAATATGAAAAATATAAAATTTCCACAACCAAAAAGTCATTGAAAGATCTGCTCATTAAAGGTATAAAATCATGGCCCTCTCCAATGTAAGACTTCATTTACCACCCCCCGTAACTTTTGGAACTTTTCATCTTAGTACTGTTTTGTTCAAGTAATATCTCACAACAATCATTGCTCTGAGAGCTGCAATTTGAACTATATGTGTGAGGCAAACAAAAAATTTCAACTTTTTTTTAATTTTTCACTTTGGACACTTGTCAATCTTTTCAGTTACATCCTCCACACCTGTTAATGTCATTTATTGCATACCCCAGAAAATACCTTTAAAATGATATAAATTATAAGTGGTCTAATGGTCCATCATTCTCATTTTAAGAAAATTTAGCATTTTTTTGGGCAGTAAAGGGCTATTTGAGACTTGTCTAAACCTAACCCTAACCCTAACCCTAACTCTAACCTCATCCCCTTTTCCCTTGAAAGTGTATTAAATTTGATAACTATAAGGAGGAACACTTTTTGGTCACTCCAAGGAGCCAAAGGATTCCAAAGAAGAAAATGAACCAGAATGATTAGGATTGATTAGACTTAAATAGTTATGATTTCATTTTTAAGCTTCAATTCATTACTAGTCAAAGAAATTGGAGGGGGAGAAGGGAGGATTTAAATAAAAATAAACTTCCACTCTACCATCACACTTGGCTTTGGTTTGTTTTAACAGAGCAAGTTGTTTCCTGACATATTTTACAAGGTCTTCTTTCGGGAGTGATTCAAGCTACAAAAATAATATCAACAAAAAACAATATTAATTGCATTAAGGAGTTAAGGGTTGTAGAGTGTCATCACTTAGAATAGATCATTTCCAATGTTTTCTTTCTGAATAAATATTAAAAATATATATAAATAAAACTTCATCTCAACTACATCAATAGGAATAGCAGAATCCACATTCCAGAAGCTTGGATACCCACAATCACACAACACAACAGCTGATTTATGATGACCTATGTGGGAACACCATCTAATAACCGGAATAACTATGAAGATTGAAATGCACCAATAACAGCATACCAACGTGCTACAAATAGTGACGTGTAAACAATCGACCTCATTGTCTGATGAAGACAGGCAGTATTGCATTCGAAATGTCGCGATTTACATCAAAAGTGACTCTATTGTGAGACAAATGAACAAAGTTCATCTCCTATCTTACACCATGATGAACAATAAGCACATATTTTATATATAGGACTATGTAGAATATGTTACCTGTGATTTTCCCTGTGATTTTGTTGGTGTTGTGTTTGATGTGGCTTCCTTTTTCATACCATTTGTAACACCAAGAGGGTCTGCGTTATTCTATAAAGACAGAACAGTTTAAAAGGGAACCTGCAGATACCTTACCAGTTACAGCCCCATATTTGTGTTGTTAAAGTGTTTTTCTGATATATTTCTGCAAGCATGTGTACAATATTGGCTGAAATGCTTTGCACAACTTTCATATCAATCTGCAATGATTTCTCAAGTTGAATACTCTACACTATTGCTAGCACAACTGTCCTTTTAATTCGCAAGAATGAGCCCTCAAATTGCATTAACCAACACACCAAAATCTTCCCCTTTATAACTTAGGGTAGAGCTGCTATATTCAGCAGAAAACTGTATCAATTGAACTAACCATGATGAAAAATTTGCTATCGATATGGCTTACTTGCTTTCGACTATATTTAAAAATACGTTATCAGGTTACGTTGAAAATCAATCCGACATAAACTGATAAATTTTTAAAAATACATTTATCTAATTGAGTCCTTTTGTCTGAGTACCGCTACACACGAGGAAAAGATTGATAAAGATTAGGTTAGAATTTGATTTCACAATAAACTCTCGAAAGCTAACAACATGGTATAGTCATTGTAAGAGATCAAACCATGAAAACTCGAGAAGCCAAATATTTGTCATAGAGAGGTATTCAAGCGCTTCTTTTCTTTATCAAAGACAAACAAGCAGTTCTCTACCTCTAGATTAAAAGTTCGCAAGAGGAAGTGGACATCAAAACGAAAGCAACAACAAGGATGATTTTTTTCTGATTAGTAAATTACCATTTGATAAACACGGTTTTACACCGCAGGTATACAATAAGATGTTTTAAGATGAAAAGAAATGAGGCATGTAAACACACGCGACCAATTTTACATGCGATCAATGAACTTGCAATAACGTCATCGGCGGTTTCATATTCAATTCACTTCATTCGATAATTCTGCCATTTAGCCAGAGCTTATGACACGAACAATTTCAAAAGCTCCTAAATTAAAGAAATTCTCAGCAGGAACTTAGACCACACGAAAAGAAAACATTAGCTTAATACACTAAGCTATGCACTTCACTCACAATTGCAGCCATCTCGCACTTTCTTGAATATTTTTTTTCCGACGATCCTCAGGACAAATCTTTTATGATCCACGCTGTAAAAGTGTCGTTGAGAAGTGCACGTTTTGGTCTTGAATTCATAAAAATTGAATACGGGTATCGTTAGCAACAATCTACCGTTCTGGACTTTTGTCTTCTCTGAGAAGCTCAGCAGTTGTTTTCATGTCGTTCTCCCTGAGTTTTGCATAATTCGAACAACCTCCACGTCAAAAGTGAGCCGCAGTGACAGGTTGTATCAGCGTTTACTCGTTGGAATTTATGCACAAAAGGATCCTGCGCACACATGTGCTCTGAGCCTCGTTACAGAGAGAAACTGAATCCGAACAAATGGCGCGAAAGCGAAGGTTCACTTGCACGTGATATGTCCTCAGTTCTTGTCAAATTTTCGCCTCTCTTTTTGCGGATTTTGCCTTCGAAACTACCAAGAAAAAGAATGCTTTGTGACTCACAGTTCACTTCTTTCATTTTCCTTGATCTTGAAACAACAGGACTCAAAAATCCTCGTGGAATTACTGAGCTAAGCATGATAGCTGTCGAACGAGAACATATCATTGAGAGTTCCGCAACCAAAACAGTCCCTCGTTTGCTCGATAAATTTACCACTTCGGTTAGACCTACGAAAGCGATCGAGTTAGATGCTTCTACGATAAGCAGGATATCAGAAGGAGATCTCGAGAGGAAGAAAGAATTTGATATTGAGCTTGGAAGAATTGTCAAATCGTTCATCATTAGACAACCACAACCAGTGTGTTTGGTTGCTCACAATGGCGACAGCTTTGACTTCAAAATTCTTGTTTCTCATCTTCAAGCTGTCGGAACAACTTTACCCGGAACAGTTCACGCCTCTGATTCGGTCAAAGCGTTTCGAAAACAACACAAAGAAGCTGAAAATGGGAGAAATAATGAAGAGGTTGTGGGAGAAGATGTGAATCGAAGAGGAAAGCGAAATTGTTCCTTAAAACATTTGTACAGTACCTACGTTGGCGAGGAAATCGTTGACGCCCATAGTGCAGAGGCAGATGCGTTTGCTCTGTTAAAACTCGTTGTCCATAAGCCAGAAATACTGATATACTTAGAAGATGAGGCACGTCGACTTTATCCCCAAGAGGAGGAAATTGCAAGGGATCCCGAAGAACCACAGATGTGTGTGGAAGAAAAGTCTGCAAGCCAAGTTCAAAATGCAAATTCTCCACCGTTAAAGAAAGGGCGAACAACGTAATGATTGCTCTTTATCTTAATTTAAAACAGTCGAAGGGTGAAAACCTTAGCTAATATTTGCCCTTATTTTGTGATTATCTTAGATGTGATAGTGATTGCACTTTCAACAATTTAACCCTTTAACTCCCAAGATCTTATTGTCAATTCTCCCCTCTTGCTGCCGTTTCCTTATTCATTGGTCAGGAGAAACAGGTGTTTGATAAAGATAAAATCTTCTAACTGATGAGGTTGAATAATCTCATTGGCTGTTTTCTGGATAATTTATGAATATTATAGGAATGAGTTACACATTAATCACTTCTCCGAGTTAAAGGATTAAGCACCTGCTTGACTATGATGATCCAGTCTGTAGTGTATCGCAGAATTTGACGAGATCTCATGCATGCAAAGGCAATTTTGCCATGTGAAATGTATGGTAAGAAAGGAAAAATTTGACTGCATATGTGCCATACTCCGCAGACAGAGTGATGATGACCTCCACTCAGGCTTTTAATTATTCAGTCACTTTCACAGGGAGCAATCTCTTTCAAGACTGCCCTTATTGAGACCATCACAGAATGCAATCTGATAAAAAAGACAAGCAAACCAAAACAAAGCAGTTGTAATTTGGAAGTAGTTTAAACAGTGGCTATATGCTATACAGTTGTATTTTATCACAATATGGGGTGCACTGATTTTAAATGTACTTTTCAAATGTTTCTTTTATTGTGTTATTAATATTTATAGGTAATAACATGTTTTTTATTACAATTTGATGTTAATAAGCATGAGTACATTTTTCAAAGACAACAAAATTGCATGAGCCCATAGGGCAAGTGAAATTTATAATCTTTGAAAAATTTAAAAGTGCTTATCATACCAAATTGCCAGAGGAATCATGTTACTACTTTTTTATAATGAATATAAAAAAACATCAGAGAAAGTCAGGACCAATAAAACTTTGAAATTGTGTATGCGCTCTTTGTAATTTGCATTGGTGTTGTAAGAGGATGCTTTTGTTTTTCAGCCAGTCAGAAGTGGGTAATTTTTTTCATGTACATTATAATGTTATTAATTATTGACTAACCATTTGAGATTAGAATAGCTGAGGCTGAGTGTTTGGCCTTTTACAGTTATAATTAGGAGGTCTTGGGCCCAGTTATTCAAGTGTGGACAGTGCTACCCAAAGGATAAATCACCCTCCAGCTGATAATTTTTAACATGATGTTTTTTTATCCATGGGACAGAGACTTTTCCAGTATACAGTATAGTCCTTGAAACATCTCTCAGAGGCCAAGTGGCTATATACCTAGCTCTATTATGGATGAAGAGGTCTGGTGTGCAGTTGTTGAAATAGCCATTAATACTACCCAAAGGATAAATCACTCTCTAGCTGACAAGTGTCAATAAAACATACTTCCCTTTCCAGCAGATAAAGATTTATTCAGTGGATTAAATAATCCTCCTTTCAAACAACAGGGGCCTGTTTGTAGCTATGGTTGTATTTTTCTGCTGTGGTGTAGAAACTTGCTAAAATGGTTCAGGGGAGGGTAACCTGTAATGAGATGATATCTCTCCTTTGAGGAGTAGCAATATTTCTTGTTTTTCTTTCATATTAAGCACATACAAAGTTAAAAAATAACATCACAAGCATCACAAATAGTAGGCACTATAAAATTTCATCTGTCTTGACTTTCTGTGATGCTTTTCATAGTTTCATGTTAAGAACTAAAATAAGTAATTTTGTTTTTTCTTCCTTTTTCGAAGACTACAAACTGTACTTAGCCCCAATGGACTCATGCAATCTTGTTACCTTTCAAAAAAAATTACTTGTGCTTATTTACAGCAAATTGCACTCAAAATCATGTAATTGCCTATGCTTATTAATTAAAATTACTTGCAAAACTAGCACTAATACTTAACACACACACAATATATGCAGAACAAGCTTATTTACTCACATTAGCCCAAATACATAACTTGAGCAAACAAGCAGTGATCTAATGCACTTGATTTGCTCACAAAGGAATTGATTACTTCTATCATTACATCCAAGACATTTTTTTTAAAACTTTATTACAATACTGCACCTTGCCACTTTAGAAACCTGGACAAGCTCTGGTTCTGTCAGCCTTTCTGGGCAACTTAACCCTTTACACCCTTGCATTAGTTTCTATATTCTCCATACTGTTCTCTTTATATTCTTAAAGTGCCAACAAAGAGAATTTGTTCAATAATCAAGAGCCTCTTTAGCTGGTGATTGTTTCCTTTATTCTTGTGACCTTAATGTGTGATTCAGGGGTGATATTGTAAGGAGAAATTAGATGCTGGTCACTCTTAGGGGGCAAAGAATTAACCCTCTGACTCTCTAAGAGTGACTAGCATCTAATTTCTCCTTACAATATCACCCCTGAATCAAACATTACAGTCACAGGAATAAAGGAAATGATAACCAACTAGAGAAGCTTTTGATTGTTAAACAAATTCTCCTTGTCAGCACCTTAGGAAATACATAGAGAACAGTATGGAGAATAAGGGTTAAGACTTTACCCTTACCTGACCAAACCATATCAGGGCTTTACTTGATCAAAGTCTCTCAGTCCCTTACCAATACATGCCTCTTACATAATGGACCAAACCATATAACAAAGTTCAACATGTAAATCAAGAGAGACTTAAATTTGTTCATATATATTTTTCTCCCAATAATTAGCATGAAATGTCAACTTGGCAAACAGAATTTGTGATGACTTTCCTTGTGTTAAACCTTTAAAACAATTTGCTCATGTCTTATAAGTCAATACACGCAACAATTGTTTCTGCTTGTTCACACAATCAATTGAAAGCAACTTTCTTACAATTGTGTCTAACAGAGGTAAGCAACAAAAAAATTTAAATAATCATCAATTCATTCTACAATCCTTTGATCCAAAGAATTGCAAATGTGAGAAAACTTGGTGGTGATCTGTCCAACTCAACCTAGATTGTTAGATTATGACCAGCATCCCATTAAATTGAAAGGATAATATTTGTGATTTATTTTCTCTCTTTGGAGAATAGCTAGGCCATACCCTCAAGCAAACTTATCTTGGACACAGAAAATGTTTTAAACTATTTGTACTTAATAAAACTACATTCTCAGGGCAAGCCCTGCACAAAGAAGTATTAACAGTTGGGAGAATTTCAGAACTAGGGTGGGAGTAGAGGCGTGAAACCTTTCTTTCTTTCATCTACAGGGTACCCAGTCTCCTATTTCATTCCATTGGACTGGTTGATTAAATGGCAGGCCTGCTACATGCCAATCATCCTATTTTCCTGAAACTAGCACAATCTTGTTCTGACCTGAGGGACTACAGAGGCAAATAACAAGTATAAAGGTGAAGTTTCAATGGGGGATCAAAGTTTTCTTATTTTATCGAGAGGCTAAATAGAAACCCTGATTGTTTATTCAACCTTGAAGCTTCCTCCTTTCCTGTTACTGAACTAAGGCAAGGAAGTAAGAAGCTAGAAATAGAAAGCAGATCATAGAACAGCTAAATATTGAATAATTTGAGGATAAATGCACTATTTCAATTTCATTTTTTTTCTTTCATTCTTTGCTAAGATGTCTTTGCGTGTCTGCGTCACCATTCGTTGTTAGTCATATGAGAGCCTAATTTAGGACTTTGATCACGGCCTGGGCCCAAATTATCAGAGTCCATTCGGGGATTCCCCTCTTTTTAGCCTACGTAAGCACATTCCTGATAATTTGCATTGCCCAGCACTTTCATTTTTAGCTTCAACGGACGTTGGTTGAGCCCTTAAAATTGTCTGCTATAACACCGTCGAAAGCGCATGGAAATAGTGCTTTCTGATGTTGAATTTTCCAGAGAACTCGAAGTGCGTTATAAGTGTATAAATTGTGATAATGTCTTGAAAGATCCTGCTCAGTCGTCTTGTGGACACAGGTAAGTTAGCCGTGGAAGTTTCTAGAACAAGCGGAAGTTGTTTGCTACGTAGTGAGTTACTGCTTTTCAAAATTATATCATAACGGCAACTACATCGCTATTCATTTGGGTGACAGGTTGGTGAAATAGGTAATTTCCATAGAAAGGGTATTTCAATCGATAGAACGGTCGAATCTTGAACTCAAAACAGTTCCTTACGAAACAAATTATAGCCATAACGAATCGGTCGGTCGGTCGATCGTAAGCCTCGTCCACTTGAATTACAATTTATAAATTTAACGAAGAAGTGGGTTCTTTGAGATGTTCGCAAACCCAGAGCAGAGCTACAAATTACATTTACATGGCTGACGCGGTTTTTATGCTTGGGTGTTCTTGTGAAGATAAATAATGCAACCATCGTTTTCCTCGTTTATTTACTGATGAAAGACAGTTCCTTAGCTCCTACTTTCTCCTGATTTTACCCCTTAATAGTCGGTCGATTTTACGACTGTTAGACCTTGTAACACATTTAATCAGGAGGGTTCATTGTTTCAATCAATCGAGTAAAGAGAACAAAGAATCGTTTCGAAATGTGTTTAAAAAATATCTGGTATTGAATATCTCTTATTGCGAAATACCAACATAGTTAAGTCAGCGCGTAGATGTAAGCTTTATTGTTAGTCATGGTCACATCAGATAAGGGGAAAAATTGCTGATGTCACTAATGTTCATCCTACGCGGAAGAAGGACTTAGTTTTCAATGGCTAAGTAGATTACGAAAACTACGCCGAGCGCAATGATGCTTCACGACGAATGCGTAGCATCTGTTGAAGTCTATTAAACTTAAGGAATATTGGCTTAGTTCAACCACGCAAAACCGTCCTTCTTCGGCTAAATGAGTGCATACGCACGGCATAATTCTTAGCAGTGACAGATCAAACGATGGTTTTCAAATTGCGTTCTGTGTAGAAATACGATGCGCTTCGCCAGGTGTCTAAGAATCGATCAAACTTCGTCCCTCCTCATTGAAGTGCGTGCGCAAGGTCCCTTTAATTTTTTTCCAAGAGGCATCGATGGCCAAACAAGGAAAAAACTGCTTAATTTAAGCTCCTGCTTGAAGCTCTTTTTCTGTCTGTTGTGAAAACGCTGAGTTGACTTACAGAAATTTCGTTTTTTTGTCTAAGAATAAGTAATGACATTGTAGACAGAAAGACAGTAGTGCGCACGTCTAGCTCGCTCCAATTCCTTAAACCGACAACTTCGCTCGGTTTGCTCCCTTGTCGATGATGGGGCTATAGTGAGATAGTAAAAATTTTAAATTCTTTTAATTTTACCTCTCGCCCTCATAAAATATGTTTAGTAGCTCTCCTTGTTCCCTGTTATTTTAGGTTCTGTTGGTCGTGCTTGGAGGATATTTTCAAGAGGGAACCAAACGACCCAAAATGTCCAGACGATAAAGAGCCCCTACAATGGAATTTGATATTCAGGGACAAATACGCACAAAAAGAAATCCTTTCATTGGAATGCTTTTGCCCGAAGAAATCGCTCGGTTGTCCATGGTGTGGGAAGTTGGCTAAATTACAAGCTCACCTTGCCGAGTGTTCTTTTTCGGAAGTGAAATGCATTTACAGTCATCTGGGGTGTACTGTGGTTATTTTGCGATACCAATTAGCTAAACATGTCGAAAATGATTGTCTGTACAAGGTCGTGGAGTGCCCTTATTGCCAGGATGGATACCCAGGGATTAAAATGAGGGAACATTTAGAGGATTGTAAGAAGTTCCCGGTAAAGTGTTCCTATGGCTGCGATAGGAGTGACATTCCCAGGGAAGACCTTAAAGAACACTCCAAATCATGCCCCCGAGCTCCTGTGCCGTGTAACTTCAGTTTCGTAGGCTGCACTTTTCACGACTGTAGGGATTCTTTAGAAGAACATCTCCGCTCTCATGCCACGGAGCACTTGACTCTCATGGCCAAAAACAACGAGAAAACACAAGAGGAAATGAAAATCTTTCAAGAACAGCTGAAAGCCTCCCAAGAGTTAACCAAAACTTACGAGGCGCGCTTAGCATTACAATCGGAAGCCCTGGCTTTGAATAAACAGACACTCTCTACGCATCAAGTCAAGCTCGCAAGAGTTGAAGAGAATGTGGATTCTCAGAGGAACAACATGGATGAACTTCGCAAAAGCGTCGAAGCATTGGTCCAGGCAAAAGAAAGCAAGCATGCTAGTGAAGAAGTAATGAGGCGTATAAATTTCCAAGACGAAAGATTGGCGCTACTAGCGGAAGAGGTAGCAAGGTTTGGTGCCACGGGATCACGCACACAACCAGGGAACTTAGAATCCGGCAGGGATGATCATCGATTTGGAAATGTGGAACACTCCATAGCTTTGCACGAAATAAAACTAGCCGATCAAGACCTTAAACTACAGATAATGGAGACCACGTGCTACGATGGCTGTTTCCTATGGAAGATTGACAACTATCAGCGCAGATTTCGGGAATCCGTGGAGGGGAGGACAATCTCCATATACAGCCCGCCATTTTATACTTCGCGCTACGGATACAAGCTTTGCGCACGCGCTTACCTCAACGGCGATGGGCCAATGGGGAAAGGAAAGTACCTATCTCTCTTCATCGTCTTAATGAGGGGAGAGTATGATGCTCTGTTAACGTGGCCGTTCCAGCATAAAGTCACTATGAAGCTGATGGATCAAGAGCGTCTATCGCACATTACTGAGACATTCCGACCGGATCCAAACAGCTCGAGCTTTCAGCGACCGCGTTCGGAGATGAACATCGCCTCCGGCTGCCCTCTTTTTTGTTCCCATAGCCTTTTAAGAACCAGAGGATATGTTCGAGATGACACTATGTTTATCAAAATCATAGTGGAAGGCAATGGGATGCCAATGATGTGAAATTGGAATGGTACTGGAGGGAATCAGTAAATCATACCGACAGGGATGGGAAATTGCTTCCCACTAGTTTGGCGTGAAGATGGAAGGCATACGCTGCTGTCGTCCACTGAGACGTCAGCCTTCCACGGAGGATTTTCCGCCGCTATTCCTAATATGGCCCCAATAATTCGGTTCAATCGAGACCTTTAATCACAAGGTTTGATGAAAAAAAATGTATCTCGGTTACTTTTGGAGAAATGATGGAGAGAATCACATAACTAAGAGTCTATATAAATGTGGAGAACTTTTCCAAGACAATCGTTCCTTTCGAAAAGGAACATGCGTTTAAAAATGAGAGTATAAAGAAGACTTGTTACTCACCTTAAGTGTGCTACTTATGGCGATTCCATGGAGCCATTATACCTAGTGTTTGCCATAGAAATGAACATTTTCTATTAAGCGATAGGTAGGCCTGTCCCGATTGTCCTTGAGCTTCATTTAAAGTAATCACCGTTTGTCACACTCCCACTTTTCGTTCGTCTGCTCACACTGAGAGCCTGGGGTAGGCTAGTTTAGTTTTAATCATAGAGACAGAATATAAGACTGTGAGGACAATAGTAGAACTCCAATCTATTTAGTTAGCTATTATCTAACAATCAACAACTTTAATAATTAAGGTGATTCCTCAGTATTGCACCGCGCATCCAGCACTGGGCATAAAAATCACCTAATTAGACGATTAAGCGCGCGCACATTCCAAGAACACGGTGTTGTTTCTCGATAAACAGACAAAGTAAAGAGGTATAAAGATCCTTAGCTCTTGAGCGAGAACAGTGACCTATATTTTTTATTGCATAACTTTGGTGTTCAAATTATCCCCTTTAAATTGGGGAAAAAGATAAAGCTAGAAGCGTGCACGAAGCCCGTTACTCAAGGATGCAAATTATGACCAAGACAGGAACGACTCGAGGGACGTTTTCAGTCCAGTTTGCTTGATTTTCCCACAAATTATACATCAAATTGTTCCATACGCTAGAAACTTTCTACTCATCAAACTTTTTCAAGTGTTACTTAAAAAACCCTTGCTTCCAGCTGCAGCAAAATGTACCGTTAACCGAAATGACGCGCGTGATTAGTGCCAGTACAGGCATAAATGGGGAAAGTTTGGCCCACCATATCTCATAAACAAGTGTGGTGACCTGCTCTTTTTATTGTATTTTTCGAAGCAGACATTGAAAAGGAATATTTAAGGAAAGTTGGATAGAAATTGTTCCGATAATTTTTTTTTTTAGGAATCACCTTAATGGACTATCACGAGAGAAGTATATGACATGTGATGCTTTATTTTTTTAATAATTATTAGTCACCAGATGAGCTAAATGAAGGAATTAAAGTGCTTTTACAAATGTCAAACCACCTCACTGGACCACATGAATATCTGCCTCACACAATACGTTTTGTGGCCCACGCGCAGTCCCTTTCGATTTACCTTAGCTGAGAGAGATTGGAAATACGCTATACCCTCCATAATTTAGCCCTCGTTAATAAGGCTGGGGTAAGCTACCGCTTCTGTTACCTTGAAAATTCTAAATAAATACATCCTTTTGGGAGGCTAAATCGCCGTTTTCATGTCATTAATTTAAGTCTAAAATATTCAAGCTCTTCATATGTGAGTTGTTCATTTTTGGCATCCTTGTTTCATTATCATCTCATTTGTGCCAGTCTCTCTAATTTAACCGAACTTCTGCCTTTTGGTATCACTTAAGTTCACTTAGCCTGTCTTGCTGTTCACAAAAATAGGCCCAAAAACAGCTTTATTCCCATGGGTTTCACCGTCAGTCCTTTAAAGGGCAACCAGTTTTCTTTCAAAGTGATCGAAAAATCCCTGGGGATGAGGTTGTCTCAAAGAAACACGGCGCTGCTTTTAAAATTCCCCCTCTCCTTCAAACTGGTAGATAAAGTCCCCCTGGATGACGTTCGGAGATAAGGGCTACTACCGTAATGATTCGATTTACCGCACTAGGGGCTTATTTACTTGTGGTAACTCATGGGATGGCACTTATTAGAAACATAGCGCTTCTTGGTGAAAGGGCGATTTTTTTCTTTTTTTGAGAAGCAGCAGAATGTGCGTAACAAAGCTTTAGTGTTTATTTACAAAGGAACAATAACAGAGACTGTAAAGGTAACAAAGAGACTGCAGTGAATATTCACCTAATATTGGTAGGGAATTTTGAGAATCGCCTGTGAGAATCGCTTTTGTGATGAGGCTTCAAATGAGCGATTTAAGGAAGATGAACATGGTTGATCTTAATGTACAGGTACTTTTACAGTGCCATCACTGTATTATTGGAATAGGGGCGCTCTTTGGAAAGAAGATACTTAAACAACAGGGGTGCTCCTTAGAATAAGAGGAGGGCGCTTATTGGAACGAAGGCGCCAAATTGAATAATGATGATACTTCCAAGAACTTCAAGGGGATTAATCACGATCGGTGGGAACTTTGCATTTCGTTATATAACAACTAGACGCGTATCAGCGTGTACTCAGGCACTTGACGCTCATGCCGGTGAATTCAACATGCATGTGAATGGCACGTGAAAAAGATTTGAAGAGCCTGTGAAAGACGTTATGCCTTTCATACCGTTTTCACATGGTTCCTCACGCATGCGCTTTAGAGTCTTAACCGCGATCAGGAAAGAACCGACATGTAACTCAAGCCTCCAACTGACCGCCTGAGTAATGAGTAAAGATCAGCGCACTTGCATTGGGTTCGGCTATAAATTTTGCAGACGAGCGTTCTAGTTAGAAAATTTTATCATCTAGTCGCGTTGGTGTGTCATGACTTGCCACTAGTTACCAGGGAATCAAACTTGTTGTTCCCTTTCCTGCATCCTGATTAGAAAATGGTTTCCATGGTAATGCTGACGTTTTGATGGAGTTGCTCCGAGCTTGAATGTACAAGACTGAGGCCACGTCCCTTGAAGAGGAAAAGACGTAAACATCCGGACATACATCATCAGTCTTTTTAACTACTTGAAAATACGTGCAATCTGAAAAACAAGAATTTAACATGGAAATTGGAATTTGACATGAAAATGCGTGCAATCTGATGAACAGGAATTTGACATGGAAATTGAAAGTTTATTTTAAGACGTGAGACAGTGACACAATCTACAGCTAAGAGTTCAAGAAGTCGATCGAAAATAAAGCGATTATATTCTATCCTATTTTACTTTATCATTTCCCTTGTCGAACTTTTAAACAATTTAACCTTTTATTAAAAACTGTACAATTTGACAAGTCACCACCACGACGTAGTATATCCATACTGTTTTGCTACCTTATTAATATTACAGTCACATTTCTCCCTTAAAAAGGCCACCTTCTGCAGCTAGCCTAAAAATAACTTGACCCCTTTGAGGCCCCAGTGCTAGTGTATACATAGCTCTTTAATTCTCTTTTAATTCCTTCAGATCTATATCAAACGGGGTCTTACTAAGGTCTCAAATAAACTGTCGGCATGTCTTGTGAAGTGATGCCTTTGACTCCTACGTCAAGACCACCTTCAACTCAGTCCTGTATCTTTGGGTTTCCTCTTGGATAAAAATGTACACTTTCACAGGAAAATCTCAAAGAGAAGTGTAAAAAACCCAATTTTTTTGGTCCAGTTTATGATTGTGTTCGCTCTGTAGAGAATGAATTCACAATTCTTCAAAGTATCACCACACGACATTAATGAAAAACTCCCCTTTGGTGACCGGAAATGTTTATGATGGATTATCTTATTCAGCATTTTACAGGAAATATCATAACTGACCTTACAACCTCCAGGATCGCTGCACGTTTTGGAGGGCACCAATTTCAACCCTTTTCACCCTAAAATCATCATGAATATTCTCCATACTGTCCTCTAGACATTCCCTAAGATGCCGACATGGAGAATTTGTCTAACAATCAAGAGCTTCTTTAGTCGGTGATCAGCTCCTTTATTCTCCTGACCTTAACGTTCGATTCAGGGGTGATATGGTAAGGAGAAATTAGATGCCAGTCACTCTTAAGGATTAAGGGGTTAACTTTTGTTTTTCTTTTCCTTCACGCATTCTGAGATCTCACTGATAAGGCAACGTAAATTTGTGTTTCAGTTAATGTCGACCTACAAGCGCGTTTTTATCTCTACACTACAATCAAAATGCTAAGTGACCCTGATAATAGAGATCGAGGTAGAGATTTTCAGTTTGTTATCCCAAACAAATCGGGCTGTGCACTGACATAACTTATAATTAAAGCTTCACTAGGCAAATAATCGCGTGTGGTGGAAGCTTCATTTCAACGGTTGTAAAGAAAGCTGCACACAACTTAATCCCTCCATAACTTTCCGGGAAATGTGAAGTTCGAAGCTCGAAGTTTACACCTGATGCCATCTTACCCTTTGTTCCTTTTTTTCAGTCTAATAGCCATAAACAATCACACCCTGACTTGAATTTTCATTTTTGTACATCTACTCTTTTTGACATCTTAATCTAGCTTGCGTTACAAGCAAATAAGGGGAGGAAGATATAAATCTAAACTCGTGAGCGAACAGAGTCCCCTACGCAGTGGCTTTGCGTGATGTAACGCAACATTTACTCGAAAGAGCGTTGCGTGACATCCAAAATTACGTTCCAATATGGCTGCGAAGGAGACCAGCGCGAGGACCTGTCCCAACGAGGAAATCAGGAAGATTGCGCTTCACACTGAAAGTTTCCTTGTCCCTCATCCATAGCAAATCTGCCATGTTGGCTCACTAAAATTTCAAACTGCAACTCATGCGAGTAACCTTAGAGGCATAGTTAACTACTTGATAAATTTATTTCTCAAAAGATTAAGAAACTAAAATAACTTCAGTGCCGTTTTATTTAAGCTGCCTCAAAAGTTTTGATCAAAGCAGGAAATCGACGGTTGGTCCTTGGTGACGAAAACTAAGCAATCCCTGTTTCCTTTACTTTAGACCACCTTCACAGTCTAATTGAACCAACAGCAGAGATTGCCATATAAACTCTCGAATCTAAAAATAGCCAAAAGAACCGTATTCATGATGACATTAACATTCTGCTCTCCTGATTTACAAAAATGTGTCCAAAAAGTAAAGGAAAACTAACATAACATAGCGTGCAGTTTTGATTGGATGAAATAAGTCACTCCACCTGCAAGCTCCCAACGTGATCTTGTAATTATACCCTAAACAAACCTGAAATAATCGACCCACTATGCATTCCCAGGTTTCTAACCTGAAAGGTCAATTGCGGGTACACGCAAACAGTTAAGACTGACAGCCGTGTCTGGCCTCACGCACGCGAACGGGATATCATTCGAGGTGGGGTGGGTAAGTATGTTATTCTCAAACACACAGTTCGGCTCTCCAAAATACTCAATCATGCAAACTTAACATAACGATGAATTAAAATTTTATTTAGAGATTTCCTCTTTGCAAAGGGAAACCATCTCATAAAATGGAATTTAGTTGAAAGTGGAAAGACATGCCTTCCGGTTATCAGTGTTGTTCTGTCGTGACACTGAAGAGATACAAGCAGGAACCGGCTGAGCATCCGATCGTAATTTGGCTTAAAGGTTTCGATCAAAATGAAAAGTGAAAATGAAGCCAGTTTCAGCTCATCTTGAGCTGGACATCTCGGTTACGAGTCAAACTGCAAGATGAGACTTGCCTAAGCCCAGAACAACAAAGGGAAGGTTATCCAATCTGATATGCAAAGTATATAATCGTAAAGGAATGAATTTCCCCTCCAACGAAATAAGGAAACCGGACGTCACGGATTAAGACAATTGAGGCATCTTTCTCAATCCTGGTGGCTCACCGATGACAATTGTGGCCTCAACCTTTAATTTTCGCATGTTAATAATTTCCGTTTGACTCTTACATTGACCACCTTGGCCTTCATTCGAGAGTATTCTGGCAAACCACTCTGCCCGCTTTTCTTCCGGTTTAATAATTTAAAATTTAACGACCAAATATTAAGTACAAGCAAATATTACTAGTCTTTAATGAGTTATTCCATACTTTGGATTTCGAACCAGGTATACTTGAACCAGGCATACTTGCGTGGAGGTATTGAGAAATGCTGCCGAAAAAAAATTGAGCAGGAAATCGTATTGAAAAGGAACTACTCAAAAATCCTCTGTAAAAGTATTATGACGCAGGTATGCATCGACGAACAGCAAAACGTGAAGCGATGACAAAATATTACAAAAAGGTCACATATTTTTCCGGAGCCGGAAAAGCACACCGTGAGTATATTCAACAGAGTTTTGCTGAGCGAGAGTGAAAGAATAGCGGCTCTGTTAACAAGTCGACGACTTCTGCTTGGTTGCAAAAGCTTGTGATTCAAGGAATCAGTGTCTTCCCAGGAAGAGAGGGGAGGGGAGGGAGTGATGAGAAAATTGCTCTCCTCATTGGCTTCAACCCGTTCTGACACTGAAGGACCAGAAAAGCCCGTACAAAGTTCATCACGACCCTTCTGATTCGTGACTCAAAAAATGGAAAAACAGTAAATCCCTTTTCTGAAAATAAAAATATAATCTGTCCGTAAATCTTAACTATCGATGATTTCCTGAGTTACTTACCAATAGTCAGGATCGGTGTTATAACGAGCTAATCTCCATCCTAAAGGAAATTTCGTTTATACGCTTCCTTCCTCTTCATTCGTCATTTACTGTCCAACAGGTCCCAGTTGTTCAGAGGGTGGGCAACACTATCTACTTGTTAAAATCTCTATCCGATGGATAGCGCAGTATGTTTTGTTCAGAACCGTTCGCTGGATACCGATTTTTCCGCTGGATAATGGTATCCTTCCTTTGAACAACTGGCTGAGAATGTTTTCTACATGCAGATGTCTCAAAGTCTACAAAGCGTTTGGGAAAAAAGCCGCAAACTCTTACGCAATTTGTTCGCCTCTCTTTCTACGTGTTCTGAACGCAAACTGACAAAGAGAGCACCCCTCCCTCCCTTCCCCTGCTGTTCTTCTCATAAGAAGACGTACATGTACAACGTAGCAGATGTACAAATTGGTGGTCGGGAAACAAAAAGCGGTAGCTTCCCTAACAACTTTTTAACGATCTTTTCAAAATTATTAATTGATTTTTGGGGGGCAAATACAACGGGATGGAGTTACATGAAGCCAACCCACGCGGTGCAGACAAAAAAAATAGTTCGGCACAGATAGTTAGAGAAAGAATTCCACCATAGCAAGTCGAGGATGTATTGTACTGCTCTCATAAGTAAAAATGCCTAAATTACGTAATTTACGTTATACTCTAATTATAAGCGTACTCAAAGTACGAATGACTGTGCGTGGATACCACAAAATGCGTAGGTGAACAGGGCGTTCAATCACACAAAAATCACATGACAGCACCATAAAAGCAACCGAAAGCTTAGCCTTACTCAGGCCTGGAAAAAACTATTGACTTGTTCCCGTTTCTCCTTGCGAGTTTAGGCGGGCAATCAAAGAAGTTTCATCTAAAGGAAGTTTTACTTTAAGTAGGGGAAAGGCAAAAAAAAAAAGGACATATTTTTTAGAGTTGTTTTGACAAACGATTCGTGTTTTGTGAGATCTATTTTCACCTGCACGTTATCTCATCTTTGGGAGTTCAAGTGTCTGTTTGTACAGAGTGTCTTACGGGCTAAAAGTCCCCCACCGCTTTATCTGTCGTCGTTACATTAGAAATTGATCAAGTCGCAGTTTGGCCCCAATAAATAAGTCGTAGGCATCTAAAATAATTTTCCACGCATAGCAGATAGGGGTCCACAGCTTTACACTTGACTGGTCAAACTAGAATATTCCTGATCAAAAAATAGCAATTCGCCTAGAATCAAAATTGCATCATCCAATATATTTTTATTAGATGTCATGCCCATTTGAGCATGATAAAAAGTGGGAGGCCGGCATTAAATTTTGTATTTGACCACGAAAAATCTGAAGGCTTAGGCCCTGTCCACATTGAGAGCCTTAACTCCTCAATCTACACCGGTTTCGCCCCCTGAAACTTGACCAGCAGATTAAACCCTCTCGATGATTTAGATTTTTGCAGAACAAGTGACTGACTTAAGAGTGCCGAACAGCAACTGACGTTCTTTCTGCGCCTTCAAAGGCGTTCGAGCGTGAGGCCATTTGCATACGTGAAAAACAATTCATGATTCGCCAACACAAAAAGCTTCAAACACAAGAGGCTTTTTCAGTTAGCTCTGAAATTACTGACCCAAAGGTCATTACATAACATGTTCGTTTCACGTGCCGGAAATGGACAATTCGATATCGTGCGTTTGATCGTGTTTATTCTGATAACTTTCAAAGCACAGCAACAAGAACAGAGAGAGCTTTTATCATGGCCGCTCTCAGTAGAAAAATTAATTAGCACTAAAAAAAAAAATAGTCTGTTGTTTGAAAGGTTAAACTGTAGCCTTGTCATGCAAATCTCTGCTGAGGTCACATGAGCTGTTGTCACGGCGTGACAGCTGATATCTGGTCGTGCTTTGTTAGAGTAAGGAGAATTCACTCCTAATCAGCGGTGGAGTTTTGTGTTTTTTTTATTTGTGGTAAACACGTGGCATTAGCCAATCAGCGCCAGGAAATGTCAGCTTGATACACAAACGTCATTTCCCCAAATAATGAACTCATATCTGCACAGCAGAGCGGCTCAGCGCAATCCCTGCCACTCGATTCCATCCACGGGTCAAGGTAACATCTTTAATAAGTTCAAGGGCTGTGAAAAACCTATCGACCGGCGCGCTGAACCCGATCAGCACAAAGACACGTCCTAGCCAATTGGAGATCTACGAAATAAGAGCGCTTAGGGGACGAAAAAATAATTTTCGTAGAAATGGTTTGCTGCAAGAAGAAACCAATGGAGGATAAACCTGAAATAACTGTACCGTTTCCTGACGGTGGCTGGGGGTGGCTTGTTTGCATGGCCACCTTCACTACGCAATTCATCGTTCTCGGCACTATGAACAACTTCGGGGTGGTGTATGTGGAGCTACTTAACGAGTTCAAGACTGGAAAAGCTGATGCAGGTAACGGAGATTTTTTTTTCCGTACCTTTTATTTTAAATTCTGCTGTGACAAAAACAAGATGCAAATGAGTTTCTTATTGTTTGATATTTTAAATATCTTGCGCTGAACTTAAATTGCTTATAACTGTTACCTGAACGATTTGACAGTTTCGGCGTAGAAAAAAAGATAGATCTTGAAGCTAACGCTTTATGCATGTTGCAATATTACTGAGAATTTATCACGCTGTTTGCTAGTCGAGCAACTCTTGCTATCGAGACCCGCGAAGGACCTGATAAATTAAGTCTTCAGCGACTCGTTTTCCGAAGCGATGCGCTAACCGGTGAAAATCTTTACCTATACTTTCCCGAGGGGAAACTTTGATATCAGCTGTTAAAACGACTTTGAAAATAATCGGCATTCTAGTCGCGGTTCGACTAAAGCGGAAAAGAGAAACTTTCGGAGGTCATTCAGAAGGTTTTGAAAATACTCCCCCTTTCCTTGTATTTCGACAAGTTCGACCCTTCTTGCGTATGACTGTGCTTTGCAACTTCGATATCTCATGTTCCTGAGTCCTCCTTATAACAAGATGTGCGGCAATTCTGTTAGATTCTCAGCTGAGCCTCACAAAAATTTTTATCTTCTTCCATCGAATTCGCTCCCCATTGTTACATGTGACAGTAGATGTCAAAGTGTCGTCAAAAACCTGTTTTTCTTGATTATCGTCCAATCAGAAAGCTTTGATTAAAACTGCATGATTTTTAGGGGTTTTCCATTACGTCAAAACCGGTCCCCCAACACACCCACAATTGATTGCACTGCCGATAAGTTTCGTTACAAGAACTTTCGTTTTGGTCTTCCAATGTAAAATTCCTAGCTGGTGTAGATTTTGTTTAAGATTTTGTTGCTACAAATAAAGAAAAAACTTCTGTCAATATTTTCATTGTACCGGCCAAGTTGAAAAGGATTCATTTGCATTCAATAGGTCTTGTCATTTGTCAAGACCATTGTTTTTTTTTTTCGTTTGAACAATAGTTCTCAAACTCTGCTTACCTTGTACAAAACAGTCAAGAGAACAATTTAAAGACGCCTAAGTCAAGCCATTGACGTAGTTTCATACAATAAACTCACTGAATAGCCTCTTTTACAATGTTATTACAAATGTTAAACCTATTCAATTTCACGCTAAATCGACATCTTTTGTTAACGAAATTAACTTCAGGGAAACTCTTTCGCACACAGAAACTTTCCTTGTCAAAACTACATTTTAAGATTCTTTTACCTAAGAATACTGTCAATCATAACCTTAGCTTATCTCTTCCTCTGATAACCCTAAGTTAACAAGAGATTAAAAGGCTCGGATTTCCTAGATATAAATAGCGCAGTGGCGATACTTGTCAATCGTTCTTTTAGATAGTGAACTTCGGAAGGGCATAGGAAATTAATCGAGAAGTTGTTTCGTTTACCTACGGGAAAGTTTTACCTCTTATTCATAAACATTACAAAATCCACACAACGCTAGGTTCACCGCTAATTAAAACCAAATTCCGGGCTAGGATATTGTCCGTCTCGAAGAGAAGAAAACTACATCGAAGTGGGCCTCAAGCGAAGTTTCCGTTTCACGGGCACTGAGCGCAATAAAAAATGGTGATTAGAGATACTAAGGAAATGGTTATTCCGCTTTCGCAATAAGCGCTGAGCAAAAAACAACTCGGTAGGTGGCTTAAACCTGCCATGATTCAGAGGCTTAACGAAGCACGGAAACATTCAAAATGCAAAATAACAAATAGAGAGCCGAATACAGCTTGTCCTGTCTACGAGAAAAGTAAGAAAAACATTTTTGTTTAATGGTGCAATTTATATTAACAATGGAGTGGCACCTCAAATGAAGTTTGTCTTACGAAACTTAGGAGTTTCATTCCATTCCTGCGTGAAAAGAAACAGTTCCACAGGAAATAACTTGATTGTGATTAATTTTTGGTTCGTGGTTTTCCCTTACGCATAGTTAATTAAACCTGAGTTGGAAAATAAAAATCCCGAACAGGAAAACGAACATGCTGACAAACGCAACTTGAAGCTTCTTATAAGCGCTTTTTGAGATAATTTTTTTCTCTGAGTGAGAATCGAGACAGCGAACTCCATGATATGTTGAAATGCTCTTAATTAACGCTTAAATCATATCTTCTTAAGCTGATGTTGTTACTAATGAACCTTGAGGAAAATATTTGTTTGAGCATATTCATGAAGAGCGTTGACGGTCTACAGGGTTCGAGGAAAGAACAGAGGGTTGAACCCTACTTTGCCGAAGCAAGATTCTCTTGAATTTTTTTTTTTAAATCTTATTTACAAAAGATTCGCACCTAAACGCAGTTCACGCTAACAGTGCCATAATCTGAACCATTTAGTGTCGATTTTTTTTGGCCACGGCATTCATCGAGGCATGTGTTTCCTGCGAATTTGGGAAGAATTTGTGAAACATAACAAATTTATTTGGATAGATTCGACTAATGTAGGGTCTCAGCCAGTCTTTTGAGATTTTGAAACCTTTGATTTCATATTTTTATAAAGTGAGCACAAACGCACAAATCGACGCCGAGAAAGTTTTTCGTTTTGCGGTTTGCAGCAGGGGTTTGCGAGGTGGTCAGTTCAAATCCTTGACGCGTGGCGCTCACCGGCCGGAAGCGCGTCATTACGCGCGAGAAAAATCACAACGATCCACTTTTCTGCGAGAAATTATGCTTTTACAACCTTTTTCACTAAAGCTACCCACTTGCCTCGCTTGTTGTCCTCCTTCTCAAGCTCGTTAAAAGTCCTTGATAAATACGTGTGATAGATTTTGGCCAGAACACGCGACTCAGACCCCGGGATATTTTTGCTGAAAACCAAGACTGTGTCTATTTACTTTGAAAGCAGCCTGTGAATTGGATAAACAGAAGTCAAGTCTTCGTGAAATAAGTCTCCCTTTTACCACACGAAATGAAGTCTGCTAGCATTTTCTTATCTCTACACTACATTTATTTAAAAAAAAAAAAACTAAGGTGTTGATAATTCATGGTGAAAGAGTAAATTTGTTTTTCGTTAAGCAAAAGCAGCAAATAAATGCTGCGTACCTTAAAATTTAATGGCGTTTCCAGGGCTTGATGCTGGCTTGATTACTTAAAACTTATGTTGATTTGTGCAGATTGTTTATGGCATTTAAAATATTTTTTTGCTTCTTGGCAGAACATGGGATTAAACAGAGTTCTAAATCAAAGTTTTTTTCTGTAAACACCGAAAGTTCCTCATTCATTCCTTGTACAAAAACAGATTTAATCTCTGGCTAAAATTATTGAATGAAAATTCGATTTTAATGATTCCGTGTTGAGTGAAAGGCAATCCCAAATTCATTCCCTCATGATGCAAAAGCTCTGTTTTTCTTTTAATGTCATCTACCTCAACAAAAATTGAGTGACAGGGTAGTAATACAATCATTGCTTTGTCTGCTCTTTAACGCCAAAATCACCTCGCGATTTCAAATTACACAGCATGGGTGAATTCAAAAAATTAGAATTTAGAGGAAGATCCCACTTTCCTAGAGTTACAATGAACCAATACTGGGTGAAGAGGGATTAGAAACAGTCCCATTGAACCTTCCAGCTAAATCTGCCCATTCATATTAACCCTTTTCCGCCCATAAGTGATTAACAAGTAACTTCTCCCCATAATATCCATACACAATCCAGCAATTAGGTAATGAGAATACTCAAACTAACATGTACCTGGTATAAGTTATTGACCAAAATTGTAAACCAAATCCTCAAAATAACTTTGCAAGAAAATGTGCAGGAGCTAGAGGGGAGAATTGACAATAAGATCTTGGTAGGTTAAAGGTTAAGCATGCAATAAACCTCTAGACAGAAAAAGACATGCATATCAAGGAGAAAAAAAATTGGGTGATTAAAAAACTTAAATCACATGCTGTTTTGCTGGATTGATCAGCAAGCCTGCTGAGAGTAATTTCCTTTGCCTAAACAGCTGTTGATAGCACTGAGAGCTGAATTAGCCCAGCTGATAGAAAGGAAATTCTTAAGAATGCGTATGACATTGAAGTTGTGACTAAAAGGATGAGGCTTCACTAATCTGAAAACATTCTTTCCACAGCATGGGTTGGTTCCATAACATATGGGATGATGTTCTTACTTGGACCTATCGCAACCACACTGTGCCAAAAGTTGGGCTGTCGTGCTACAACAATGATTGGTTGCATGATTGCCGCAGGAGGTTGTCTTCTGGGTTCAATATCAACAAGTATTTACCTGATGGACTTGACATATGGGTTCCTTTTTGGTGTTGGAGCAAGCATGTGTTACTTCCCATCCGTGGTAATCTTAGGCCAGTACTTTTCAAAGCGTCTCTCCTTAGCCAATGGGATCACTTCCTCAGGGAGTGGTGTAGGCACACTTTGCATGGGTCCTATAATGCAGAAATTAATACAGCACTTTGGCCTGCGCAACACAATGAGAATCTCTGCTGGAATGCTCTCTTTGGTAGTATTCTGTGCTATTATTTACAGGCCCATAAACACTGGTTTTCTAAAACCACCACCCAAGCCTGCCACAGGGCAAAAGCAGTCACGATTTGCTGTTCTCAAAAGTTTTAAGGAACTGTTCAGGAACAAGGCATACATTTTGTGGTGTGCAGCACTGGCACTGTGGATGTTGGGTTACTTTGTGCCATTTGTGCACTTGGTAAGCATTAATGCAGGTGGATTAACCAATACACTTATAGTGTGTGAAAAAAATCTTCCCATTCTTAATTCAGCTAAATCTGTGTGCAGCACAAGAATTGAATGCTTTTATAAATTTTTGGCTCTTCTGCGCACAAAATTAGCTAGGTTCACATACTGAAAACTTAAATTAGTCAGCAGACAACAACATATTCTATCTCAATGCTGCTCTCTCAATGCATCTCAGTGATGTAAATACCAGTAGCAAGCCAGAATTTGTCTTTAACACTCAAAGAAACAAACTAAAAATTACATCGCTACAAAAGAATTATAGAAGCCTTGAAAGGATTCAATACACTAACTGTGAATGCTCAAAAGAGTGTCTTTCTCCTTACCTTTCCAAGGTGCGTCTTGCCACAGAAGAAGGTATCGACCCATTTAGAGCAACTCTGCTCATCGGCATCATGTCAGTTGGATCTACTCTTGGACGTCTCATTTTTGGCAAGGTGGCTGACCACCCAAGAGTGAACAGATTGTACCTTTACCAGATCTCCTTCCTCATGATTGGAATTAGCAACACCCTGTGTCCTGTATTGACCTCCTACACTGGGCTAGTGATCTACTCTACTGTGTTTGGCTTCTTTGAGGGGTGCTATGTGCTTCTGGCTCCTGTCCTAACAGGCGACATTGTTGGAAGAGACAAGATGGCCCATGGTGTCGGTGTGTTATTTGCCCTCAAGTCTGTGCCTCTTACTCTAGGACCTCCAATTGCTGGTAAGTGAAGAAGAAACAAAAAGAAAATGCATTTCCCATGGAATAATATGCATAAAATTGTTACAGTGGCTTTGCTTCTATCAAACTATTATTACTTGGACTGATTACCAAACAAAATAACCTGTTAACATACAGTGTGCCCTTGGCCAGTGTGTTTTTGTTACATTTTGATTTAGTTAACTAAGGAAGTTTAAATACAAAGCAAGCAGTCCAGTTTGCAGTTTACACGAGCAAATGTACAGACAAAGAAAAATCTTACTTTGCTCAACCTTATGACAACCATGTAAAGGGAAAAAGAATGCCCTTCAATAGGCTAACAACAAAACAGCAATCAAATCAATCCCCCTGCCTCTTAAATTTGCATTTAGAAGAGCTTTGCTTTCAAAAAATATGTGATAAAAATATCTTAATTTAAAAAAGTTGTTAACTCTGTTTATCCCATTTCACTTCTTTGCTGAAGAAACTGCATGCAATTTTTTTTCCTCATTTTAAGGCTTCATCTATGATGCATCCAACTCATACCAAGTTGCCTTTTACATTGCTGGTGCTGTGCCAACTGCTGCAGCCTGTATGATGTTTGGCATTCCATACCTCATGCCAGAAAGAGAAGAAGACAACAAATGCAAGGTTGTCCTCATGGAAGAGAGTGGGTTCAATGAAAAGCCAACCTACTTTGACGAGAAATCATCTCACTTCGACAAGAAGAGAGCCATCATGGAAAAGGAGCAACAAATGAGTGGCAAAAACAACAACCCCATAATACCTGACGTCATCATAGAAGAACCAGAAACAGACGATAACAGACCAGTGTCATTCTGTAGCGTTGGGAGCAATAATGGCCTTTCTACCCTCAGTGTTAACAACAAACGTAACACCATGGGACTTAGTACAAATAGCATTTCATCAGTGCGAGAGACATGCCTTGTGTCAGTTGACACTATCAATGTTCGAAGAAGCAGGGTTCTGCAGCTTAAAGGGGAGCTAAGTAGTTCTGTGTTTTCACTTGTCAGACGTTATATGGACATGCCAAAGGAGATTGCAGCAAGTGAATGCGGAAGTATAGCATGCATTCCGCAACACATTGCGAACACTCCTCAAGAGCCTCCACCAGTCCCAAAAGAAAGAGTGGTCATTGCAGGAAAAGAAACTGTTGTGTAAGTCACAATCATTTCCTCAATCAGTCCCTTCTACCATGGAGTACTCTTCACATCAGGTAGAAAGTCTTGAATAGCACTTTAAATTAGTGCTACAAATCAAAAATAGTTATTGAAAGTAACTTCAAATTACAACTTCAGCACAAAGTATTGTGCAAAAAGGGTAAAATCAATGCTTTGATTTTAAGAAAACACAGACCAGATAAAGAAAATTAACACTTTATTAACCACAAGGTAACTACTCTAAAATATATTTTTTTGGGATCAAGAGGCATCCATTTTTAGCACTAACACAATGCTTTTAATCAAAAAAGCAAATCACACTGTCAGTGATATTGAAAATAACTCTATCCTATTAATATAACGCGAGATCAAGAGTGGTTCCAAAATCAAACGATCAATTATTCTCTTCACTAATTGACCTGATTTCTCATGACATTAGTGATATAAAATTGGGAATACATGAAGGTAGTTTTGCTTAAGTAAGGAAATTCTCTCTTATTCTTCATGAAAGGTACATTCTAAATTGAATCAGTTCCTGTCTGAACACATTTTTGAACTGGAACTTTTGTGAGAGAAGTATAAAACTGAATTACAAAAAAATTTGACAACCAAATTCACTATTTAAAGAGGAGCTATATTAGAATACCTCTTAACTAAATATCTCTAACTCTATTTTTTGTTGGGTAAGTTCAGTTAAAGGTGCTCATTTCAAAAGGCTTTTTAAATACTGGGAACTTTTGATCTTGAGATTAACTACCTCCACCCCTCTCACTGTATCATAATAAAAACACGTGCCAAAAAAAGGTGAATTGTGAGGAGTTTCTTTTGACAAGAGCCTTGAGAAAAGGCTCAAATGTACATTTCAAGACTTACACATCAGTGAGAGGGCACGAGGTTTTTCAGCCTTTTAACATGGATACTGATTCCCCACAAAAAAAAAAAAACAAACAAACAAACAAATCTGATAAAGGGAAAATGTTCTAAATTATTTTGTCCTGGAGGAGGGTTTCAGATTTTTGCCATTTGTGTGAGAAATGATAATGTTTGGCTATGTTCATTGATGTCATTTCAAAGAATGACATTTGAGGCATCTCTTTTGCAAAACAACAAATATATTATAGTGATGATACAAATTACAAACAAATGAAAAAGAATTACTTAATCAACAATATTTGAAAATTTATTTAATTCCAATTGGTTTTAAAGAGGAAGGAAACTTCTGTATCCAAACAATCAATGCTATGTGATTCAAAGAAATTTAAGTTAATTTGGACATTGACATTTTGTCATAGAATGAAATATGAACTAGTTGAGCTTGAAGTCTCTACAGAAACTTGTCCAATATCAGCCTAGCTTTTTTCTTTTTTTTTTTCACACTAACCTTAAGTTCACAAAAGTTTCACAACAACAGTACCTGAAAAATACTGGTAATAACTATACAGCTAAAAAAATCAGAAAATTGAGAGCACTAGAAAACTTTTTGGAATGTTTTTTTGTTCATTAATAGGCCAATGCATTATGAAATGAGTGTGTTTTAAGCAGCCTCAATTATTAGTTTTCTGTTTCATGGGTTGCTTTCCCTTGCATAAATGGTTGTAGCACAATAAACATTCTAAAAATAATTCAGATGTTAACAGATTTTTGGGTTTCACAGTGTTAAGTTTTGGAGATGACAAAGAATGTAACTTCTGAAGACTTATTTATGTTGATCACAACTGAGTTTTACTATTTTAAAATTATTTGTAGCCACAGTATCATATTGAATAGTGTATTACCCTAGAGGCCAATAGTGAGACTTCATAACCAAATAATTTTATAAATCAGTTGTTAGGGTGAATCAAACATTGTAACATTCTTTAATACTATTGTTTTTGTCGTTGATGCTGTGAATGTCATCTTTAGCATACAACCTGGTGCTTATTTCTTACTTATTTATTAAGAGGTTTTTGTACTGCAACTGGATTTCCAATAGCTATATTCGATACCCAGTTTTGTTTGTAATACCAAATATCCGACCAAGTTTTGAAGGAGGCCAACCTTTTCTACTTGACAATCACAGCTAACTGCGATTAAGACAGATGGTTTGTAAGTAACAGAGTATTGTGATAGTTTTAGTAAGTCACAACGTTTAGCAACACAGCAAAAGCAAAGCACTAGGGCGCAAAATAGACTGAATAACTTAACAACAGGCACTTTGAGATGTAAGTTAGTTTCTTTGTTTGACAACCATAAGATATGCAGTTGTGTTTTTGTTTCCATCATTCTGTAGACTGCACTGTCATTGAGTAAAGATACAGTGAGGACAATTCAATCCATTCCCCTGTTAGAGTTGTTGTTGGAACTCATATTGAGAAGGAAAAAAAAAAAATAAAGTGCAACTTGTTTTAAAGTTGGGAATTTTAACTGAGGCTCTGTGTTAATTGACTTATGACAATTTTGTTTTTGAACTTAACATAATTTCTCCCTATCATTCATTAAGTAAAATAAAAGATTGCCAGCCCAAGAAGCTTTTAATGTCATGAAAATTCTCCTTGTCATTACTAGAGGGTATGTCGAGAAAATGGTTACTGACATAGGATGAAAAGAGTTTGTACAGTCAAAATAAATTATATTTTTAAAGCACAATCTGTCACGTACGTTAACTAAAATGAGCAGTGGTTTAATCATCCTTAGGAATATGTATCAAAAAACAAGATATGCAAAAAAACAGGATTTATCTTCCTCAAGACTGCCGGGTTATTAACCATTAATTGGGTTATTACACTATATCTCTCAATCAAATGTGGCTTAGTTCAGAGACAAACCCAACCAATTGGCTTCAACATGTTGATAATAGTAAGTAACGAAAAGTAAGTAACAGCTTTCCATGATGCTTAGCGCAATTACTTTCCATGATTTCTTACCGTTTTCTCTTTTGGTAGAAAAAAATTCGATGACCATTTCAGCGAGTCTTTGTACACATTGTGCGACGTAATAAAAATGTATTTTCACCACCATCATCTTGTAAACACAGCCACATCCGACAAATCCACCTTCGTTGTATCGCATTGAATGCAGTTGTTATTTGTCGCTGGCTGGATGATTTTAATGATAATTTTAAAAGACGTTTCGGCTTCGCTTCGGCTAACGGCAAGATTTACGCACAACCCTTTTCGTCATTAGTTACTGAATATAAGAAAACGATGGCGAAAAACAATATTTACCTTCAGGACTGATGGTTTGCTTTGGAAAGGTATCGTGTTAAAAGGGAATCTCTCCCTGCTAACTCATATCCTCGAGCATGAATCTGAACCATTTTCATTAAAGTCATTACTCCAATAAATAGGTCAACCTACCCTTCTCGAACACAAAATTAATTATTCTCAAATGAAGACGATTTCTCTCTTGGCTCTTGGCAAACGATTTCGTGAAGCAATGCATATTATCATCATCTCTATTACTTGGTGAAGGATGAAAAACTGAATGGCATTCCCTGGCAATCCTCAGCTCAGCGGTTTCCCTACTTTCAAAATGGCGCCGCTACTTTAAAATGCAGAGAAGCACCTGGGACCAGGTTGCGATTTTTCGGGGTACTGATACACGCCCATGGCGCAAACCATATCATTTTGAACCTCACAAATCGTTTTGGCGAAAAACGTAAGGGAGAGAGAGCTGTAACCCCGAGAGAGCTGTGAAGATTCACCCGATCCATTAGCTTTCGAAAAAAAAAATGGTAGACCCATGCATAAGCTTACGACCAAAATTTTCATTGTTACAGTTCTTGATACCTTTTTGGTTGCATTTCAAAGCTAACTTAATCTCGACCTGGAATGAAAACATGGCAAACAAAAATCCTTTTTTTCGGCCCAGCAAAGTTAACGATTCTTGGAAGAAACAGGTATTTGGAGAAACACACTATTAGAATCTGGAGTGGATCAAAGAGGAAATAACGCTATCCAACGGATAAATCGTTATTCATCGGATAAGTGTTATCAAAACGTACTGCGCAGTCCAAGTTAAAGAACTGATTTGTCCAGTGGATAGCGTTATCTACCCTTGAAGTGACCGAGGCCAGAAGGCGCACTTGCGCGAAAGACGTGTTCTCTTTCTTACTTCTTCCCAGACTTCACAAAAGACAACGACACAAGAAAAACCCTCTCGCGAGACTGGACATTCACGCTTACCTCGCGTCTGTGTCGCGTCCTTTCTACTGAAAACAAAAAAATAAGTTATGCCTGTCTTGCACGCTATTTATCAAAGAATGATTGCATGCGCGCGGCACTTACTAACGTCAGCCTAATTATAACTTTCCAATTATCATTTAATTGGTAAATTAGAGTGTATGTCGTCATTACAATTATTCCTTTTCTTTACAATCAAAATTGCCTTGCGCCGTGGCGCACAACGACGACCAGTTTCTGGACTAGGATCCGCTACGATTGCCTCTCTCAGGTGCGTCCCGAAGACTTTTCGGTATTTTTTGCGATATGGATCTCTTCTAGTCTAGGAGAAACTAAGTGCCTAAGTTCTTGGAGTCATATTCTTTTTCACACGCTGAGTGCACGCACGCAATGATACCATGACATTAGTCTATATCACAGAAATTGCGTTGCGACTACGGGAATTTCCATGACAGTTTTTGTAGGCCGTTAAAAATTGAGAAAATGCTCTCGCAACTTTTTTGATAGAAAGCGGAATTCGGTGCTTTCCACTCTCATGTCGATCTGTTTGTTAGCTTAAACAGATTACTAATCTTTTTTTATCATCAACGGACTTGTTCCCGCGTCGATATCAGGAATTGCAAGTTATCAAAACGCGACATTCTCAGCTTGTGACTAGCTAAGAGGATAGATCTGAACACCGAGGGAGCGGCTAAATTAAAACGAAAGCAATCGCGGAATCAAGTCCAGATAAACAGTGAGAAACTGCTCGATTTCCGAGGCCATGATTCTGGTTAGTTACGGAGAAAATGAATTCCAAAATGTAGACTCTTAAATCTATTTTCCAGGGAACAACTGCAGAGGGGATCGATAAATGAGTGACCTCCAAACCTCCAAGAAACGGACTGCATTTAATTCAAATTCGCCTTGGTATTGAACCCTTTCCGCTTTTCGTGTTCCGGGGTTATGCCCGAAACTCATGAGCGGCAAAGGAAGAAGTCAGACTCGCTTTACGGAGGCGACAGCATTGGAGGGACTTACACGCTTCCAAATTTTGCGTCCGAAGCTCCTTTAACGGAAGTAAGGAAGAATCGTTTACTTGCTGTCAATAGAGATACATTAGATAGAAAGGGACATAACCAGTGCAATGAACAGATAAAGGATGCTTTGAGTGATGTTCAACAACAGGCTACACAGAGCGATTCACAGGGTTTTTTGAAGCTCGATTATAACGAATCTGGTGATACTGAAGATGTGCTCTCCGCACCAAGAAACATCGGCAAGGATTTCTCGAGCAGGGCAGAGTCAAATAGAGAAAGAGGTCACAATGGATTCTCTACGGAAAGGGAAATATCATTGCCAAATGGAAAGAAATTGTTCACACACGAAGGGAACAACTCGAGAAGTTTACATGAAAAATTGTCATTAAAGCATGTTGATACTAGCTCGTCCATTTTGGGTCAAAGGGCTTCGTACGCTGTTTGTGATGTTGTACAACCGATGAATGAAAATATACGGATGGATGAAAAAGTAAACCTGAGACGACGTGGTAGTTCGGGGTCCGAACTTCAAGAAGCACAAAACTCGAACTTCAAAACTTTAGCTCCCGGGTCATGTTCATTACAAGATTCAAATGAAGCAAGAGTAGATCCATTAACTGCAGAAATTCCCAATGTCAGAGGACAAAGCCGGTTGAATAGAAAGGATGATAGAGGCATCCTGGTGCAAAATGCGCCCCTTGTTTTTCCTCAAGAATCCGACTTGGCACTCTCAAATCAAACTACCTCAAAGGTAGACGATGAACCCTCGCGGTCCCTCGGAACCACGCCTTGTAGGAGTAACACCGAATCTGTCATCACGAGAGACGCCGAGAAAATCAAACAAACAGGTTTGACTGACAGCTTTAAAGGCAACCAACCAGACAACACCCTGAGTGACGCGAACGATCGTTCGGTTCAGATTTTAGTCCAAACCCATCCCGACGGCGGATGGGGCTGGGTTGTATGTTTTGGCGCATTTATAGTCCAGTTCATCGCCCTCGGCATGCAAAATACAGCAGGTATTGTTTACACGGAACTGGTGAAGGAACTAAAGACTCCCAGAGGAGCCACAGGTTGGTAAAAGCAGGAGCCCCTAATGAGCTCCTGGTAAAGTTAAAAAGTGATAGCTATAGTTTATCGTCCTACAAGAAAAATAAACTTGTCACAATGCCAGACACGCGTAGCAACTAAACATGGCTGTAATTGAAAAGAGTAATATAAACTTCTAGTCATGATAAGTTTCAGTCTTTGTGTAGAAGTGCAACTTTGTCAACGAAGTTATCTTTATTACATTTTTTCCAGCTTGGGTCGGGTCACTTGCGACTGGGATCATGTTTTTCCTCGGCCCACTTACCACCTCGATGTGTGAAAGACTCGGCTGCAGAATCGTAACCATTTGCGGGGGTCTCATCTGCATCGCAGGGCTTTTACTTTCGTCATTAGTTACCAGTCTATTTCCGTTGTATTTAACTTACGGTCTCATGTTTGGGGCTGGGACGAGCCTTTGCTATTTTCCCACAATAATTGTGCTTTCTAAATACTTCAAACGCCGAATTGCGGTCGTGAATGGCCTGGTAACAGCTGGAAGTGGAGTGGGAACGCTAGTGATTGGCCCAGTCGCCCAAGTACTGTTTTTGCGTTTTGGCGTACCAAACACTTTTCGAATCGTGGCAGGAATTTTCACCATGGTGATATTATGCGGAGCAACGTTTCGACCCGTTCCTGCCAAGTACCTTCAGAACATTAGAGATTCTGAGGGGGAGCGGAAAAGAAAGCTTTTTGACTGGAGCATTTTCAAGAATAAGGGATATGTTATCTGGATCGCTTCTCTGGCGACATTTCAGCTTGGTTATTTCGTACCATTTGTACACCTGGTAAGAGTTCTAACTAGGGGATCAGTCGTTCTGTATCGTCTGGGGGAGAGCAAATGATTTGGAAAGGATAACATCGTTTTCAGGGTTAGTGGAGGGGGATCAGTCGTTGCCGACAGAGTATAAAAGTAAAATATAGAAAATTGATGGGCAATTAACTGCCAATGATGGAAGAATCATAACAATATTACAGACTTATAGGGCGATCAGGTTGATTATCACGACACAACTCCACCCCCCCCCCAGGAGATGAATAATGACCGATCGCTAACTAACCTAAGCAACTTAATAATGTTACTTAATGTTACTTTTTTATTTAAGGTAACTTTTAAAGCCCGAGCTTTCATTTCAGTGAGTATTCTACCCTTGTCCCCTCAGCCTGCATAAACATCTGAGTGAGAGTGTTAGTTGCCCTGTCTAAAAACGCTGCACAGGAACACCACTGAGATAGCCCCTTGTTCAACTTTTTGACTCTTAACTGACCCACCGAATTCTTACTGCAGTCGCATAGTGGAAAAGTGCTCAAGAGAGGATAACTAAAGAAAACTTTCATAAATATTTGGCTTCCACGGGAAGCTCATTTTTTTCCTTGGCTTTAAAACGATGTTCATCCCTTCTGAAAGAAAACTTTGATGAATCTAGAATGTCACCGATTGAAACTAAATGTTTAGTCAAAACAAACGATAAATATTTAAGCGACTGAGATACTGTCTTAATATCAGGTCAGACATGCCGAAGATCTAGGCGTTCCACCGACAGATGCTTCGTTCCTGATAGGTTACTTATCGGTGGCGTCGACAGCTGGAAGACTTTTTTTCGGTAAAATGGCGGATCTTTCCTGCGTCAACAGAGTCCACATGTATCAGATGGGACTCTCTATAATTGGTTTATGTTCCTTTTTTGTCACCATGGCAACAGGATACGGCGGTTTGGTTGCCTATGCTGTTATCTTCGGGTTCTTTGAGGCATGCTACATTTTGCTGATTCCGCTGGTCACAAGTGACATCGTGGGCCTCCGAAAGATGTCTTACGCTCTTGGTAGTGCATTCACTGTCATGGCATTCCCAATGTTTTTGGGACCTCCCATCGCAGGTTCGTTTTAGTTCGAGTGCATTTGAAATGTTAAGTAATCTTAGGATGACTGTTTGTGCTATATGAATTAAGAATTAAGAGATCTTCATAGGAAGTAGTTTATTGCGGAAGATCGTTAGTTTTTCAGAATAAGTTAAAAACAATGAAAACGCAACTGTCAAGTCGCGACTGGTTTTAGATCTCTATCTGATTGTTTGAGAGGGTGGCGAAAGTTTTCCAGCCAATCAAAAAGCTTAGTGCAACAACCAAGCAATCCCGAGTTGCTTTAACACTCAGTTGAAAATACTCAATTCCAGAGCAAGAGATTATGACCTTTATGTTCTCTTGTCCAGAGCCAATGTGTGTCAGAAATTGAACCACTTTGAACCTCATTGGGGTCCGATGGGTATGAACGAGTATGTGCAGTGAAACCAAGAGAACATGCCGCTGGTAGCGAGTAGAGAGAGTGTTACACGCAAGCGGTCGAGCGCAATACTTAACATTTCCAGCTGATGTTCTCCTGATAAAAAAAAAAGAAAAAAAAATTACTATTTTTTTTTTTACACCAGAGCATATTTAAATTGAGATACCTTTTAAGTAAATTATAATTAATTCAAGTCAAGTAGTTACATGCGATCCTATCATTGAAAGAATTTTGGTTCCCCGCCCATGGACAAGCCACTGCGACGTTTTTATGAGACCTTGTTTCAGTTGTTTATGATCCTGCGCAGGTTGGATTTACGACATATCTGGAGATTATGCCGCAGCATTCTACTCATGTGGGGGCATCTCCTTCCTTGCGGCAAGTTTGACGTCTTTTATACCCCGTCTGTCAACACAGTCGAACCAGGAAACCGGCAGCAAGAGACTTGCGAAACTCTTACGAAGGAGGAGATCGAATCATCGCTCTGAGGTTATGCACGTTCTTTTTGGATGTTTGTGGAAAGAGAAGCAAGAGTCTAGAACATCAAGCTTTGTACAACATAGTGGCATTCAAGTAACAAACAAACGGGTGGATGTTTGAAATGAAAGCAACTGATGTGACATTCTCCGTTTCCATCTCACCGCGTTCTTCTCTGTTTAACTGTTTCACAGTACAAGGAAATGAGCACTTCACTTTTCAACTCTGTGTTAACTTGAATATATGAAGATAATAAAAAAAGTTTAAAAAGTCAGAGTATTTTTCGCGTTCTTTTCCATGCCATATGCATTTCCCATGAGCATATTGGGCAACTAAGATTAAGCAGTTGGCAAAGGCGCCGGTTCAATGCCAAACTGCGTGCCATGTTGAGAAAGTTCGGTCGAAGAAAGCGTAAAAAAAGCCACTGTGTGTACCTTCCAATCCCCTTTTCTATATGAAAGTACTATGAGCAGTTCCTTAAACTTTTAAAACGGTAGGATGGCTCTGAATTCTGGCCAAAAAATATAATAGTTAAACTAGTCAGTTACACTGAACTTAGCGCCAACTCAATCAGTGCTCCGTTTCGATGATTCACGGTAAGGAAGGCTTTTAAAAATTGAATTTACCGTTGTACCCCTGGTAGTGACCAACGATTAATTTCTCCCAATAATATGAATACTTTATTAACTAGAGAAGTGATGAGAAGAATGAAAAATATCAACAAGGGGATACCGTTTGATTAAACACCAAATTCTCCGAGCTAAAAATTTAAAGAAATGTATGGACAACAGAGAGGAGAATCGAAAAAGGTTTATACGTAGGCACTTATTCATTAATTTTTACACTTAAAAAGAAGACTGACAAATAAATGGGTAAAGAAATAGGTAAATGATAAGTTCTGATGATTATTTTAGCATCTTAAATCACGCTTCCACAACTTTCCATCTCAAAATCAAAGAAGTTATCTGACATTCAATAGGAGCAACCCACACTTAATCATCAACTTTATCATATTAATTTAAAACTTTCCTTGTAAATGCATACGTTGTTTTGTTACTATTTTTTGTTTTGTCCAATCAGCATTTTGTTATACATTTTAAATTCAACTTTGTACTTCGTAAAATCAAAAGTGAAGATGACAGAAGAACTGTCGAAACATGTTTTTAAAAAGAGTCGTTTCTTTTATTGAATTCGTTACATATCTGCTGCTATTCAGACCTTTCAGCAATAAGTCAGAAAGTAGATAAAAATGGGCAAATATTCCAGGTTGGTTAAGGAAGTATCAGAAACCAGTAAATTAAAGTGAGAGAAGTCATAACCGTCTTCTATAACAAATTACTCTATGACGGAAGTGACTTTTGATTAAAACTAACTATTTTTCTTTAAGTTTAGACTTTGATGAGCTAAATTTTATGAAAGATGAATCAAAGTCAGTAAAAAGGGCAAGTACTTAATAGACTGTAAAGGAAACCTAACTTAACTTGAAATCGTGGACAGCTAGTAATGAGCTATAAATATCCAGCTAATGCATAGTTTGAACCTATTACTTTGGCGTTTTTTGTCCACTAAAGTCACAAATAGAGAGACGCAACCACTCCAAGCCTCGTTCCCAGAAAGAGACAGGACCCTGGGAACGAAGTTGGCTTATCCTTCCCAGACTTCCGTTGGACAGAGTGTAGAAGAGAACGCCTAAGGTCTGAGCTGGCACAGTTTCTAAACAGTAGATTCCCTTTCTTCTCCACAATCATCTTGCTCCCGTCCTCGCATGGCCTGCAACAGTCGAGCAGCTAGCAGATGAAGCATATCATCGTCTTTCATTCCAGACTGGAAGACCTTCGGGGTTCCTGCGATAACAGTGCTCCGACCGGACTCCCAGTTTGAGCCCACTATCGTGCTTTCACCAGATTCGCGTCGGGTGTCTTCATTAAACAGTTGCCCTAATGACAACGTGTCCATTTCTGCTTCGGGCTCAGAGGAAATCTGTTCGTAAGATTCTTCGCTACTTGATTCCTCGGAAACCTCAAAGGACCCTTGCCTTGACTCTGATAGAGATCTTTTAAATGAGCCTTTACCCCTCGAGGGGCTTGAGGAGGAAGTTCTGAAACCTAAACTGCTACTCATCGAGCTCCTGGATGAGCTACCACCCGACTGCAACCCCATGGGACTTTGTGATGATCCTCGGCGCGAACCTGATAATGGAGTGGAGGCTCTGGATTGTGATTGAAGCTGCTGTTGCAATAGAAACTTTGTAATAGATCCTCGATGTGACATGCTAGCATTGAAGACGGTATTGATGCTTGTATCCATGGAAAAGCTGCTCTTTTCATTAGAGGCCCCGTCTGTCGCCACATCAGCTTCGTTATCGACGGTAAATCCTGTCAAGTACTCCTGCTCAGCCCTGTCAGCTTCGCAAAGGCTGATCTCCCCGGTTACGGGGCTAGATAAGCTACTATTTCCACTATCCAAGCTTCGGCTCTTCACCGATCTTCTGGCGAAAAATGAACGGGAATGCTTCCTTGTACATGGAGTAGATGACTGTGAGTTTAGAAGTCCTTCCAGGCGGCTCTGACAGGAATCTCGGCGAAAGACACCTCCTTGTTGGTTGGGCATGAGCCAAGGTATCAGAAACATCAGACAAGAGGAAAGGGTAGTGGTGGCGCCACAGATGTAGAATGCTGTGTGGTAAGAATTGAGCATGTCGTACATAAGGCCTACAATGGGAAAAAAAGATGAGTGACTCAGGCAAGCGAGGGTTGCTGTAGTATGACTAATGAGTTTGTTATTGAGAAGCAGTTCACCATTTACAGGGGGACTGATTAAAAATTCAATTATCAGATCGCAGCATTCGTGATAGAAAGCTGGTAGATTTCTGCTAAAATCGATTGGTAGGCGATAAGTCCAAATACTCCTTTCCGACTTTTCCTGAAAATTGTGCACAATTTTGCAAACCAGTCCTTTTTTAATTTTCATGTAAAAAACAAAGCACTCATGAAGATATACGAAAGGAGTAAATGCTTTAAGAGCACTGCAAATGGAAAGGACATTTTCCGTTCGGATTTTGTGGTGAGAAATTTGGTGAATCTTATAAAAACACTCTGAAATTTTGAACATTTGCTGGTTGAACAAACCAATGTAGACTGACAATTTACGTTGCAACATCGAATTCTTAAATTGTCTCAATGGCGCGCAAGGCACCACGTGCTACAACCGGGAAAAAATCTTCAACTTTTTGGAATGATCTGCTTCGGTCACTGGGGACTGAGCTGAAAAGAAAACGAAACATTTACAAAGGGCTGAGTTGAAATGGAAAAGCACGCCCTCCTCAAAGCTTCCGCAAAATTGTTTTAATAAAACAAAATAATCCCTAAGTGTGTGAAAGAGCGAGTAGTATGTTTTACCAACAATATCTTAATTTTGAAAATCGCTACCGTACCAGCAAATGGAGGTCCAAGCGTAAGGGTGAATGATATGACTCCGTACAGACTTCCTATTGCGGCTGGGAGCTTATGAACTCCCACGATATCAGTATTGAGCACCGCGATCAACACCACGTACAATCCGTCAAACAGCCCCAAGGCCACGACCACCGTCAGTAAGGATGCATAACTTCTGGCCAGCGGACTCAGTGTTGTGGTCACCCCAAAGCCCAAAATCGCCAGCTGCGTCATGAACAATCGATTGACCCTTGGATGGTCGGAAAACTTGCCGAATCCGAGCCGACTGATCGTTGAAGCGATGGACATGAATCCAATCAGCAGAGCTGCTTTGGAAGGTGAAATACCCAGACCCTCCACGTGACTAACCTGTTTGGAATGCAGAACAGACCAATGTTGGCATCCCTGTTAAGTACGTTGACTACAAGTTAAAAGTATCAATCACGTCATATACCAACTTAGTATGTGCTAAGACAGTGGATAGCGTCGAAGGCACGCTCTGATTGGCAACTCAGACTCCGAGTATCTTTTGATATCAAAAACTAGATCATTGGATAACGCAATTCAAGAGTTTTCATTTGCCTAGACATCATGGGTTATGAGCCATTATACCATGCGCGCGCATGAAGATGAGTTAAACCGGGATTTGCGCCCAAGAATATTGCAATTGTTGTAGGAATAAATGATTTATAATCATCTTTTTATGCTATATTATCTCACTGTCTTAGTACATACTAAACCAACAATTCACCTAAGTATCGGTGGCTTGTGGTGGATCTTCACCTCGCCGCTTCACAAATCCGCGCCACCTCAATTTCGGTGAATAGTTGTTAATTAGCCACCATAAGGAGTTTATAAAAGTAGATTTTTGGGGCGCTAGCCCCTCAATAGAGCAAAAGTGACTGTCTGATTGACTGAGCTGTTGGTGAAAATAAGAGAATATCCAAAACTTTTTAAGTCTAGCAACTGTTTGATTGCTACTGTAATAAATTCAACTCACTGTCTCTTTTCTGATTGGCCGAAAGCGTACAATGGGTTTTCGAAATAAGCGCCTGGCACGTCATCTAGTTGTAGATTATGCAATAATTTTGTGAAGGACACTCAAGGTCACAGGTAATCATGTCATGTATGACTGCGGTGCATGATTTGTAAAGGTAATCATGTCAAGTTCGCGCGCCTTTTGTTGCTTCCTGATAGGTATATTATTATACGTTGAGAAATAATTTATCAGTTCCACTTATTGTAGTGACCTTTTTTTTTTCGATCAATGTATAATAAAACAATTATTGATGGATGAAGTTTTTGTGATATTCAGAACAATTATTGATGGATGAAGTTTTTGTGATATTCAGAATAATCAAGATCTCGTTGATGGGTTACCAGCCGAAGCCGAAGGCTGAGGCTGATAACCCCTGCCTCAACCGTGATTATTCTGGATATCACAAAACCTCAACCAAGAATTGTTTATACACTCACTCTCATTTCAAGTCTCCCCGTCCTTTGTTTACTTACCAAATGGACATAAGGAATAAAATAACCCAACATGAAAATAGCCACAGCTGCTGTATAAACACAGAATGCTTTGTTTTGCCATACTGAGAAGTCAAAGAAAGGCCTAGGCTGTCGCTTTACTTCAAACAGTTCCTCAAGAGGTGAGCGAAACGGCCTGTAAGTCAGTGCAGCCAGTAGCAACAGCAGTGATACGCCACTGAGTATGCGCAGAGAAGTAGAAAGGCCATAGCGTTGGAGGATGTACTGGAGGACTGGGCCGAATGTCAGCGTGCCAATTCCACTTCCTGTGGAACATAAGCGCAAAACGTTCGTTTTTTCTCCAATAATTTATGTAAACTGTGATAAAAGGAAACTTTAAATAACGTTCGACTCACCTACACCTTAATTAAAATGGCGTATATAATAGATATATTATTTTAGGTACGTATAAATTAGCCTTTCCAGCCTCGCTTTTCACAGAAAATCCTATAGTTCTTTAACATATCTTCCAGGCCAGGGAGGCTGATTAGCATGAGAATGGAATAACAGTAATTAAACCTGTTATTTATGGAAGAGTTCCACTGTTTCGTAATTTCTTTATGATGCGACTCGTCGTCTAACGCACTTCTTCTCCTGGAGAGAATGTCGCCATTTGATTTCAGTGAAAACACCGCCTTTCGCGAGGGTTCCTTAAAAGATTTCCAGTATCAACTATACTCCTGCGTGGGTTCACGCTATCCACCAGATGAATCTCTATCCAATGGGTAGCGCAGTGCGTTTTGTTAACACCTATCGGCTGGATACCGATTTATCTGTTGAATAGCATTATCCGGGTTATTGTGCTTGTTAACACTTAACCGCTGAATAAATGGTTAAGAATATATGAAAGTCATATATTTTCACTACTGCCTAAGTAGTGCACATTACTGCGAGGATCACTTTCATTAACGCCTTAACCGCTGAATTGCGATTTATCTGTCGGATAGCATTATACACCCTTTGAGAAAATGGACCCTTATATAGAGGGGTTAATGTATTGCGAGCGTTCTGCACATAGTCACACCAGCTTGGGTGTAAGCTCGTACTTTCGTACACTAAGCTAGTGCGCTAACCTACAGACATCTATATATCCCATTTTTCGGTAATCCAGGAAGGGAGGGGGGGGTGACTCCCTAATTTGACCAAAGTGACTTCTTTCTCCTACGGCACGGGTAGTTAGATCCTCTTAAAGAAGTGATACATTTGATTCTGCTCAACTTACCAGCAGTAACTATGCCATTTACCAATGACAATCGCTTACAAAAATACTCCCCAGGAGCGGTTAATGTGGGGAAGTAACAAAAGCTCGTCCCTATACCCCACAAGACGCCGTAAGTCACATAGAGCTTTGTCAGGTCGGAAACAAATGACGTCATAAGCATTCCCAAGAAGCACAGCAAACCTCCAAGCAGTGCCACTACTCTGCAACCCAGTCTTTCACTGAGCCCGCTGGTGATTGGTCCAAATACGTACATAACTCCAACACTGACTGAACCCACCCATGCTGAAGAAAAAAGAGAATTAATCATTCTAAGCTAGCAAAGGATTTACTAGTCTGAAACATCATACCGTAAGATATTGAGGCGAGAATTATGCTAGTTATATAGAGTTGACAAACCTCGCAACCGTATGGAGCCAAATCTTCTTTAAAAGTTTGTTTGTCAGTTTTAAAAATCTCCCCTTTGCACTCCTAAACAATGGACCAATGTAGCCGCTGTTGAAAACGTTATGCGAGCCGTACATAAACATATCTAGACTCTCGTAAACCACCTAAGACACTCGTTCTTGGTCAGGAATAATTAAGCGGTCCTTTCCTCAAGAGTTTGTTTTAGAACACAAAATTAAAGCAAGATACTGTGGATACGATTGAAATGATAATAATGAAACGGAAAATACAGAACATGCAAAGCGAAATCCGTGAACCTTATCGACAATCTCTCGAGAAAAATCAAGAAACGGAAAGATTTCCGCACAGCCCCAAACCATTGTAACACAGAGCCATAGTCCAAAGGGCAATTTACTGTTCTGGACACTGTTTTCTTCACCCGAGAACTGCATGCATAATGAAGTATGAGGCAATGCGGAAATCTCACCAAATAAACGGCGAGACATGAACTTGAGCTTGAAATTGAACTAAAGTTAAACAAAACTAAAGAGAACGTGCAAGGTACAAAATGTGCATAATAAGGTTTAGTCAGGAGCAAACAAAATCTCAAGAGGCCTGAGGCCTAAGATCAACACAAAGTTAAAAAACAAACAAACACAAGACAAAAAAATTGTCGGCTTGAAATAAACATTCAGACGGGCATATTGCGCATACCTCAGTGATAGGCCAGAAATTGCTTTAAGGCAGCATTTCGTTACCTGTGCTTTTATTTGTTTTAGTTGTGACCATTTTTCAAATCTGGTGAAACAAAACAACAGTTTTCCAGGAGGTCTAGATGAAAAATAAATGGCCAATGCTGAGGAGCACTAGCGATCGAGTTCTCCGTGTTTATAACTGTGGGAAACGATGTAATAATTAAGAGTCCGCGCAGGAGTGTGAAAACTGTCTGGCCCTGCTTTTTTTTTGATGTATTGATAGGACCAGTTGAGTCAGAAACTCTGAAACTCTGTCAGTTCTCGTATCGATCTCTACCGATCTCTCCGACAAAAGACTAACGCTCGAAATGTCAGCTCTAGAACTCTTTACGGTGGTCAATTTACGTTATCAACTCAGCTGATAAAACTAAAGGTCATTTACGGGCATGTGTGTTTGCGCGGCAGATAAATCTCGCTAAGTCAAAGGTCTCGCTTCGTTCGTGATTACATCATCTGTGATTTTTCTAGGGAGCTGGATAATGTTTTTTCATATCAGTTACCGTTAGTTTTTTAAGCTCGATTAAATCTAAAAAGTCCGACAAACAACAACAAAACAACATTAACCGAAAATTTGTGTAAATTTTTTTTTTATTTCTAATCTACCATGTTAAAAAAAGATTTTTCTCGCCAAAGCTTGTTTTTCGTTCCTATGACCCCAAAAAAGCCAATTATCAAAATAAGAATGCGTACAATTAGCGGGAATTTTTCGTAGAGACTGAAAATATAAAAGACGAACTGGCTTTTACATCTGACGAGAACCAAAGTTGAACAAAACAGCTCAGGTCTGGTTGAGTTTTTACACTGCTTCGTAATAATCGCTTGACATCGTCAGCAGTGACGGTATATTCATGGTATACTCCAGAAAATGACCACCGAAACTGTAGAAATTTTCCTTCCTTTTGCAATCTTTACGAACTCAAAAGACTTCACAAATGCGTTTTTGTAGATTGATTGTTGGTGTGTTCTCAGTAGGAAATATTAACAATCGTATGAATAATATAATCAATTTTGTGTGAGCCCATGTGACAACCCCTGATCGAACATAATCTATACCTCCACAATTTCGCATAAATCTACAGTTACTTCGATTTTTCAACCGAAGTTATTAGAATCGGCAAACCAACGAAGATTTCTTTCCAAACTGAGTGAAACTCAAACTAGTCCTAAGCGCGAACAGCAGTTACAACGGACGTTCCCCTTACGTGCAAAGTAATTCCTACTGGCATCTAGATATCTTGAGCCTTAAAATCGGAATTTCACAATTATGAAACAATTGAGAGTTTTAGTCATAACGCTTACAGCAAACGCTCAACGGCAAAAATTGAACTCTTCTCTGTCTGCTCTCAACCGTTTCTGAAGTAAAATCGAAACATTTATATCAACAGTGGACGAAAGATTTTTTGCTTTCTCCCAACAGAGTAGATTAAGAATTTTCAATATTTCCGTTTGCCATTGACGCATACGGAAAATTCTGTCTGTACACTGCTCTACAACGCGTAATTCCATTAACACATAATCTCACCAGTTTCTGCCTTGGACCTTTTGTACTCCTCCAGTAATGTCGTGTACAAAATACCAAACGAGTTGTGGATCCCCATAACAATAAACTGAGTCACAAATGCTGCGCCACAGATCATCCATCCCCACCCTCCTTCGGGAATAATTTTAATCTCGGATGCGAGGGCTAATCGATCCAGCTTTGCAATTTGGATTATCGAGGAAGTTTCTTCGTCCGCTGATCCTGACGAGCTCATGGCTAACAGAGACAAAACAATTCAAGAGGAGAAGTGGCAACGAATTAATAAGAAAGACGACAGGTGAAAAAAGGTTTGACGTCACATAAAATCTCTAAGAGCCTGATGCTCTTTCAATATTGATAAAGGAGACAAAATCGTCAAATGAGGAAGCGCAATCAAATTTCAGCGCCGAGAATGTCACCTCGAAACAAAGGCGTAATTAGTAATACTGAAAATACCTTGATTTGTTATTAGCCACAACAAAACACATTAACCGTGCATAAACACGCATTATTTAAGGAAAGGGTTCGCTATGCGACAGTACTAAGAGTGGCGTCCTTATTAACGCTAGGATTGGCCAAACCAGTGCCAGGTCCGTCAGAGCGCAAGTTATTCGCGCGTCTTCGATCTTTGTTGTTGTAAGTATCAGTTTTAATAATATATCGATAGGCCGTTTCTGAGTCCTTGCGGTTCAGTGATCTGGTGGCGAAATTATAGCGCGAGAACGAGGCTAAGTGCGAATCGCTCTTGTCGGCGGGTATAAAGAATAAAAGAGCTGTGGTAGTGAAAATGAGCGAAAATTTCTCAAATTCAGTGTGGGAGGGTAAAAAATTATTTGTGGGAGAGGTATTGAGCTAAGTGACGGTATCAAAGGGAAAAAAAAAGCAGAACTGTCCGATTTATGCAAGAAAAGTCGCAGTAATAAAGCAGATCAAACTAGCCTCTGCTGCCGAAGACTGCAAAAAGCTGTTGGAGAGAAATTAAAAACAAGTGAGGGCAAATTTTCAGTACCTAAAATTTTGAATGCTTGGACGTACGACTTCGCTAACTTTCCAGAGTTCTCGTTCGGCTTCTGCATGCAGCCTGGCCTCAGTTGCCTTTACGTCATCATGTAATCACTGTTTTGAAGCGTGGAGCGTGTAGCGTGGAGAGTGGAGCATGGAGCGTGGAGCGTGGAGCGTGGAGCGTGGAGAATGGAGAATGAAAATGGAAAATAGGGAATGGGGCATGAGGAATGGAAAATTGGAAATGGAAAATTCATTTTTTGGAAAGGAATTTAATGATTATTATGTAGTAGAGAAATTTATCAGCGGCGATTATCGATATCCACGATTTCTTTCAAAGGCGTTCAGAGGTAAATTTAATATAAGGGAATAAATAGATGATGACGAAGTAAGTGATACATGTCGCCTAAAGAATGAGATAAAACCAAATTTTATTCGTTTCATAAACAAGTGATGGGTTAAAAAAAATTGTTGAGAACAATTAGAGGGCTATTTGAATGTTTTCTTTAAAATCAATAAATTAGAATTTTCAAAGAGGTTAGTCATTAAGTGCTCGAATTTTTCATTTTCACCATCACGGCCCCTTTTTGTTTTTACCGATTAGGACGAGTTGGTACTTATCCTCGTTCTCGCGCCTTAATTTCAACACCAGATCTCTGAACCTCGTGACCTCGGAAATGGCCTATTATATTATCATTATCCACTCAAAATAATGTTATCTTGGTCCAATAGAGAGAGCTGAGTATATTTCTTAGTCATTTAATTACCCTTCCTGCTTTCTCATTTAATCATTTAGTTTTAACGGCTGAATACTAATATAGATAGGCGTTAAATACTTAGGCGCGGCTGCTGACGCAACAGCGCTGCCTTAGATACATCTGTGATCAAGAGAAGTATTGAGATGGTATTTCTAAAATAAATCTAAAAAGCCTTGATTTTTAGTCTTTATCGCCATCACTTAGGAACTGTTTAAGTACTTACCTCAATTGCTAAACAAAGGAATTTTGAAGGGCAAAATCTTGGCTCGGAAAAAGGAAAAGAAAAGGAAAAAAAATTTTTGTTTAAGAGCTATTTGTGAAACCATGAATTACCACGTTTACGTGAACGCTGCGATAAGTGGTGATCTATGCTACATATATTTCAAGTTTCCAAATAAGCTTGGAGGCACATTCGTTTCGCGGGGTCTTGCACGAAGAAATTTGAAATTATATGAACGAAAAATTACGCAACCGCTAGAACACAGCCTTAAATTTATATTTTAAAACGTTCAGGACATTTAATTTTCTATAGAGGTCAAAATGATAAAAGAATGATTTTTTTAAGTGACATTTTTTAATAATAGGACATTTATAATGCGAAAATTCTATACAATGTTCAAATGCGCATAAAAATTTATGCTTAAAGATTAGAAGGAATTATTTCATAAATTTTAGAAGTATCACGTAACCATTTAATTGAAAAATCAACAGATACCTACCCCCTTGTCTAGATTGCGACTGGGATCGATGGTCACAATGCTTTTTTTCTTATTCTTAAGTTGGGCGTTGAAGCTTGAGCGGCCAAGAGTCCACTGATGTAAATTCTTCTGTCAAAATGCATTAAAAACGCGGGTTAAAACGAAAAGGGAAAGCAGGAACGGCCGTGCTTTTTATAAGCACCAATGACGCAAATAATTTAAATATAGAGACATCTCCTTTCTCTCTTCTCCCTTCACTTCGTCCCCTCCTAGTGGTAGTGCCAGTCCCTCGCGACCCTGAATCCTGTCTTGGTTGGAGACCAGGCTGGGTCATCAGAGTTACGTGATCTATAGCAAGAAAGTTACTTTCACGCAGTGCCTCTCTCCGATAAAGAGAAATAGATAGGTAACAGTAAACCGACAAAAGAATTATTTCCGAGGTGGCGTTCCGTCTAAGAGGAGAAACAATACTACAAGTCGCCTCATACTCGGACAACAGGATAAGTTTCAATTGGCTCGCAACCGACTTAACTCTTCCACTCCTTGGGGTGAACAAAAGGGAATTCTCTTTGGAATATCCATTCATTTTCAAGCAGAAAGGTAATGAGAGGAAGGATAAAATATCATCTTAGGAAAATTGGTTGATTAACTAACGAATTTTAAGCCATCTAAACGTTGCAATCCACACTGGAAGTGACAACGGAATGGGAGAAAAGATAATACTTTATTAACATTCTGTTCATCAAACGTGATTGGCAATCAACAGCCTGCTTTGAACACTAAATCGACAATTAACGCATCACGCCTGTAGACTTTTAAAAATTCACAAATTACAGACATTTCTATGAGCTTGCGTTCGCATAATACACCCCGCAATTTCTGCCATAATTTGAATTGACGTGAATTTGTTATTGTTTACTTCTTGAACGATTCCTTTTTCTTTCTATGAGGACTATTTTTATCTTAGGGGAAATTCTTTCCTTCCGTAGACGGTTTGGAGAAACAAAGTAAAAGAAGGCATTAATTCCTGAGGAAAATATTATGTTGTAAGTTAAAGACTTGTAAGCTTTTGGTTGACGTCGTTGGAGCGTGGGCCTATCAAAAGACCAAATTGCAAGTGACTAACTCTCATTCATGAAACTTAACGATGTTAATCTATTTTTAGTTACCAGCTGCGTTACTGAGAGTGTTTTTTTTTTTTTAATCTGATAGCCAACGGCTGAAACTCCACATACTTTTATGAATTTACAGTTTTTGCCCTGAATGTTAATGGAATGGAGCTATACAGAAGAAGAGTGTCTAGATGCTACTTCAGAGAATAGATGACGAGACAGACAAAGCTTCAGTCAATCCAATGCTAAACCATGGAAGTTTCTCTCCAGTTATTTAGAGACTCGAGGTATCAGGCCTCAACCGGGAATAATGTTACAATCATAGATGCCTTGCGCGCTACTTGAAAATTTTGGTAGAAAACAAACAATTGTTGGGAGAGCCTTCAGGCAAATGGAGGCCGAGCAAATGCGAAGAGAGCGTGGGGAGAATGCACAGATCGATACATACGTAAGTGGAGGAGTAGAAAGAAAAATAAATTCTCGGTTCAGACTCGGAAGGAAAATTTTTCCACCTAGATTATGCACTGAGAACTCAACTTGAGTGCTCGTGCTGGTCTTACTCCACATCACTTATCGAGCGAACCGCTCGTTTGTCATCGCCCATCCTTCCTCTCCGCTCTGAACAGAAGAGTCATTCACGTTCCCCTTCTTGCGTGAGAATTGCTCTTCGCGCTCCCCTCGCGCTTCCTTCGTCCGCCTATAAGACGCCCAGGAGAAAAAGAAAAGAAAAGACGAATGTCGCACACGAGAATGACGGCATTTCGAGATGTGCAAACTTCGCGGCGCTTAGTTGGTTTTTCTTAGACTAGCATAGAGATCAGAGATAAGAAAACGGAAGTGATCTAAAAATAACTCAATAGTGATTTCCTTGGGAATAAATCCATATGTGGATCCGGTCTCCTTGTTTTCTCGTTTGATGTCATTCTGATGAAACTGAATTGAATCCTGCCTTGTTTATAACCCAAAGTTCGTCATAAAAGTGACTCAAAAGAATACATATATTTTTTTTAGCCAGAGCCTATATCGTGATTTAATATATTATTCAATTTAGAGAAAGTTAATTGCTAGATTTTTTAAAACTGCCCTACATATTCGTTTGAACTTTCAATCCACCTGGGTCGCATTTTCGTCCACGAATAAAATCGTAACTTTTTAAAAACATGTCAGCTACCACAAAAGCAAGTGAAGATCTCCAACAATTACGTAAATAGCTGTTTTCTGTTTTCTCAGTTAGGAACAAATATTGTATTGTCAACATATCTGAAGTCATTTGTAATTTTTTTCGTGCGTAGGGTTTCAGCACCTGACCGGCACTAAATTTCTAACAATATTTTGGCATAATCAAATTTCTCTTTAACTCGCAAGTAAACGGATGAAAAGCGGGGCTGAAAAGTTACAAAAATAATAGCAAAAAGTTGCCAGAAGTTATCAGTTTCTTAATCGCCGAACATATTAAGATCGTTCGTTTTGTGTTAAAAACTTTTCCACATTGTTAATTAAGACAGAACATACTTAGATTAGATGCAGAGAAAAACGGCAAACTTTGCGGTCGGTTTAAAAGTTTCTGTGAGGGGCTTTCGAATACCCAACTCCTTAAATTGCAATTCCGAAAAATTAATCTGAATCGCCTGATTTTCATTTTTTGACTTTCTGGGATTTTATAACAGTTTTAACACGAAAGATTTTGAACTCGCGATAGGGGGTTGACAGAAATTTGTTTACGATGCATAATTTAATATTTTACATTCTCGGTCTTCCTGTCAGGCTACGAGAAAATAATACGAGAAATTTTCCAAACGAATCGTGGGTTGTTTGCGTTACCGCAAAAAGATGTCGTGTCGGAACTCTTCAAGGTAACCTCATTTTTTTTCAGAGAAAGTTCATCCGATTATGCGGTTATGATTTTGAGAGCAATAAAAGTTTGCTTTTATGCCGTGGGTCGTTCGAAAACACGGCCAAAACATCTGGCCATTTCAAATAAATGCTCGTTCCGCACTTAATTATTTATCGTATTCAACAAATACAAACTCAAATTGACTTACAAAAAGAGTCATAACTTTGCAAACTCTGTTGTTAAGGATAATTGAGACTTTGGTGAAAACAACGTCAGACTGGTAGCGGCTACAGTATGCGCCTGGCAATTATTGTCATCAGTCTTAGCGTATCCCTTAAGAAAAAGAAAAAGCCTTTGATTTGTAACAGCCGGGCTTAAGACCGTCCTATTATTATTGTAAGAGGATGTCAATACGCTCTAAACTTAATGCAGCGGAAAATTCGAGGGCAGAAAACGGGCAAAATGTTGTGCTTCAACAAAAAGTTACGATTAACGTGCGCGGCGAGATGTTCGAAACATTTGAACACACTTTGTCTCGCTTTCCGAGGACCTTGCTGGGGTCTCAAACTAAAAGGAACCGATTTTACAATCCGATTCGGCGAGAATATTATTTTGATAGAGATAAGGCAGTTTTTAACTCGATCCTTTTTTATTATCAGTCAAATGGAATCCTCTCCAAGCCGGAAACTGTTTCGTATGAGATATTCTCTTCGGAATTAAAGTTCTTCCAACTCGATGGCTTTTACGAAGATTCCGATGAAGAACTCGATGCACAACTTGCTGCAGCAGCGAGACGGAAAGCGACCGAAAGTTTGCCGTGCTTGCGAAAGTTCAATAGGACAAGAAGAAACGTGTGGCGTTTTTTCGATCAACCAATTACTCCGGCGGAGAGAACTTACACAAAGTTTTCGTTGATACTGACCGTTCTATCGCTGGTTTCTTTGTGCTTAGAGTCACTGCCAGAATTACCGAAGAAACCGGACCAGCTTCAGAATCAGGAAGGGAATTCAACAATGGAAGCTGTGGATTATGATATTGTTTGGTCATCTGTTGAGGTGGTCTTTACTATATGGTTTACCGTGGAGTTGATTCTCCGTTCATTGTGCGCACCAAAGATCGCGCAATTCGTGATCTCCTTTAGTTTTTTAGTGGAAATTACTGCCTTGTCGCCATTGTACGTGAAAATAGTCGTTAAGAACGTTACGGGTCAGGATGCAAGTCATGTGGTACCAGATCAGATTTTGCGTTGTCTTCGCTTAGCGAGGCTACTTAAACTGAAAAGATATAGCGTCGGCATACGACTTCTGTTTGAAACAATTGTGGACAGTCGCGAGCATATGAGCTTGTTCGTATTATGTATAGTGTTTAACACAATTTTTTTTTCCAGCTTCGTGTATTTTTCCGAGGGCGAAGGGGAAAGCTCTCAATTTACTAGTATTCCGGCGACATTCTGGTTCACCATAATAACCCTTTCAAGCGTAGGATACGGAGACTTCGTTCCGACCTCAGCGATAGGAAAGTTGGTGGGCACATTTTGTTGTATTGGAGGCACTGTAGCCATGTTCTGTTTTACCCCTGTATTGTTCACGGAATTTCGCAAATCCTGGCAGCGTTATTATGCGGAAATGTTGGAAATAAAAGCACAGAGAGGCGAAGATGCCCGTGAAGACGATCAAGTACACTACAGAAGCCAAACTGTACGTCTACGATGTCAGGATGAAGTCTCTCAGGCGCTACTGGAAAGAGCGAATGCCGTACATGGATAAGAGCGCAGATTTTAACAGATGTAATTTGATTTTCTTTATTTAATCCAGTTGCCGCTGGTGGCGAATCTATGTCTCTTTTCCTCGAGGAAAGGCGTCCAAGCGAACCACTAGATTTTCTCCTTCGTTTACAAGACAAGTGCTTTATCGTGGTAACTCAAGAAAGTGCTCTTGGTGGTAAGGGCTTCGCTAATCAGTTTGACCAAGCTAATTTCTTAGAGTGTTGCGAAATGCGAATCTTTGGGCGACTTCGCTCTTCTTCGTGCGGTAGTTTCTCGAGTTTGCATCAGAGAATATCAGCAACCTTATTTCGAATATTGTTTTCAAAGCCATCTCGACTTTAAATAATGCAAGTACGTTTAAAAACAAAATACTAATTTCAAAAGCCGGATTACTTCATTTATTACATCCAAAGTACTTCCTTCCAGGTTTAAATTATGTCGCAGGCAGAAACAACTAAGTATTTAACTCACAATACATTTACTGCTTAACGAGCTCACTTCTCTACTGCGATATCGTCATCTTTCTGTTTACATTCCCCAGACACGAGATCGTAAGTCTGACTTATTTTAAACTACGACTTTTTAATGAAGGTAACCCGAATTCATGGCAATTTCTCGCCGAATTAAATCCCAGTAAATTCTAAATAAATGTCATATTCTGCGTGTAAACGTCCAACAAACGTTTTGCGTTACTGGTTTTGTTAGAAGCTTTGTCCTTCTTCTTTCTAAGTCCACGGCCACAACAAAGATTACAAAGCCGTGGACAACAATAGAACTGTGAATTTTCAAGAAAAATACAACCCTCGGTGAAAAACAAAAACATGCTGAACAGACTGAACAGATAATAAATTACCAACAAGGGGGGCCTTGCTATGAAAAATTGAAAACACAATGCATGCATAAAACTCAATTATTGTAAGGAGATAATAGAATTATTGCATGAATTACGAAAATATTTATATATCTACAATATATAATTATAACTTGTAACCAAATTGGTCTCTTGTACCAAAGATGCTACAATAACTCGCTTTTAGCTGGGAGGAAAAAAAATAAAACAACTATATTTTTTTTTCTCTCTTAATTTGATGATATAATGTAGTGTTGAGTTGCGTACACCCATTTTTAGTGTTGTGGTTTTTACATTTCTGATAATTTCTTATTTTTTTAAAGGGTTTTTCATGAGTAATTGGGAAATAATCAGTTTTCTTTCACTGAGGATCAAACTCTCTCTTTGCGACTTATGTCAACATCTTTCAATCGATCTCTAAAATTCTTCATCACATATTTAACGAGGATATACATGACCGTAAATGTGTGCTTGTACCAGAAGAGGTTTATCAGAAGTAGCTAAAAAAAGTTTATCTCAAGGCCTTAGTTAATTTTTAATGCCTTCTCTCGAAGAAATTCTCCCACAGAAGCTTATCCTTCGAAATTCAGTCGACCACGAAGGTTACATCGCTACCAGATAAGATGTCTCAGGTGTGTTACGAGCATCAAGTCGGAATCATGTCAAAATCAAGACAGTAAGACGCTAACAAATCAAGAGGGATGGACTCTGGATGCTTTTGAACTGACAATTTGTAGTTTTTGGCTGATTTGCGAGTTCTGACTGAAGCGATATCCAGACCGTATGCTCAAGTAAAAACACAGTAGATGATGGCCACCGTGGCGTTATCAAGGTTTTATCACATAATTGCGCCCCTTCGTCGCGTGCTGTTTCTTTTTCCATGCCACCCTCCTTAACCTTGAAAGCAAAGTGTCTGAGGACCCAATAGGAAAAGTGTTGAAAGGTTTTTATGCATCAAAATGGCTAGTGTAAGTGATTCACTTTTCTAATTAATTTTCCAAAAATTCAAAATGTGTCTTTATTCTCTGAAAATAAAAGTAAATTAAAGTATTTCATTACAAACGTCTGGACGAAGAAATTCCCTTTTGATGGCCATTTTCGTTCTTTTATTCTACGTCTCCATCAACTATTCTTCGTTTTCCTGTGCATTTTCCCCGATTTTTACTTTGTAATTTCCCGCTTTACCGTTTTGCGTTCCCAGTTTTCTCTTTTCTGCTCGAACCCTCTTTATTGCTTCTCATCCACCGATACTCGTTTCTCGTTCATTATTTTCCGACCTCTCTTTTTGGTTTCTCATCTTCTTCTACGATCTTAAAATTGACACCAAGAAGAAAATACTTCAACTTACCTTCTCCATCACTGCAGAAACAAATTAACTATGTTCCAATACAAAACTTCGCAGGATTTATTTTTTACCACAAGCAAATTATTTAAAGCTAAACTTGCGGGCGGCGATCTTTGTTATTTACGCTCATAAAAAAAAAATACAAGATCTAAAGCATGTACTAGATTCATATCCGGTGGTATCAGAGTTCTAGGAAATCTCTCTGGATGGGTTTGAGACTCCTACAGCAATAAATTGGAATAGACCTTTGATTTGGAGTGAGGCTGAAAGTGACCTTGTTGAGATAGAGACCAGTATCTAGTTAGCATGATAAAAAAGGAAATTTGCATTTGAAAATCAGCAACGTTTGTACCATAAAAAGGTCAACCTTGGCCTCACTCCTGTTCAAAGGCTTGGCAGCTAAGCAGGCAAATCTCATGTATAGTATCATTAATAACGACCGCCTCACGCACTTTTTACCACTTGCGAAACACTGTATATACTGTTGTAATAGATATGAAGAACCTATTTATTTTAGTATACATCATATATACTAAAATCAAAATAGTGCAGCTTAACGAAGCTGAAATAGAAAAGCCGTATCAACGAGGACTTACTAAGTTGAACGTACTATCAATGGAAACCTTCAATTGATAATGTAACTTACAGATTTCTTTTACTTTTCTTCCCCAGATTTTGTATGATTAATCTCGTACAACCGCTTGGCCGTGAAAAGGTTTAGGTATAACACTATCGTAGGATTTAACGCGACGTTTTTGCAAATTGTAGTAAAGAATATAACTACCTATTTTTCTTTTCTGGTACTTCATTGAATTATAAGATGTAAGTATGGTAAAGATAATGGAGATATTTTTAATGATATTAAAAAAAAAAAAGGAAAAGGAAAAAATATCCTTCTATGATGGCCAAAAATACTCGTACATGTCCAAACGAAACACGCTGTTTAATATACTTCAAAACAAAACGAAACGAACTGAAGAATCGAAGCAAATTGCAGAGAACAATTGAAGTGGTTGCTAAATTAAAATTGTAAATAATAAGTTACTACAATTAAAGGTGAAGAAGTTGGCAAACGGGAAAACAAATGAAAATGACAACAAAAGACACTAACAAACGTTGTACGAGATCCGGAGAAAATGGCTGGCGTTAAACGATATAAAATGATTCAAAGCGATTGAGAAAAATGATCCAGCACAGATAAACGATAAATCCGAATGAATAAAGTTTACGGTAAAGAACTTATACGGATAATACAAACATAGAGAAATTGTGCAAACAAAAAAAAAAAAAGGTAACAGAATATCGTGGAAGTAATGCACGTGAAAACAAACAAATTAGTGAAAATGCGACGGATGAAAAAAAAAATTTATAACGAATAACGTCAAAATGATTTTTGGCGGCAACGCCTTCATTTTGCGTTCGTTTCTGTCCTAGCTCTCTATTCTCCGTTTTCCGCTTTCACCCGTGTTAGACTTGGCTTAACTGAGTTGATAGGCCAAAACTTACAAATTGTTTGTCGAAGACAAGGTCGTAAAATGGTGAATTTTGTCTTACGCTTGGATTTGACTTCCTAGATTTATTATGAATTTTATTGTGCATTCACTGAGTTGTAATTTCGTTACCGTTAGAGCACAGAGTCAATATTACAATTAGAAGTGACATGTAATTGGGAGCGGCATAGGATAATCAAATTAGTTCAGCCAGCAATGATGTATGAAATTAGGTATTTGCAGGGCGTTTAAGCGCGTAGGAACTTAGCAGCATGATTGTCAAGTAAAGCCATGGTTAATAGAAAATTAGTGCCTACGGATCGTTGTAGAACGTGAGTGAATCTTGAATCCCACACGGAACTACGCATCTGGGTGTGGGATTTCCTCAGCTAATAAATGTAACATTTTTGTAACCCTAAGGTTATATTGTAATAGAGTAGATAGATCGCAGAACGGAACGTGTAATGCTGAATTATCGTCAATAAAGCTTGAATCAAGAGAAAGTATACTGTCCAAGATTACTGAACCAGCGTGTGCGGAATTCTCAGCAACGCAAGTAGGAAATTCTGCGAAATGAATTTCTTCTAACCTTGTAATTCACGTTGATGGTGTTTATAAGTTGAGCGTGATGTCACCGATAAAATCATTAAGGCCAAAATGAGCTCAGGGTAGGCAGTCTTCATCATTGATTTCTCACACAAAGGATTGTTGCTGTCTGTACCACACAAAAATTTCCATCACTTTTCAAATCTTTTCTTTGTTGTTCCTCTGGTTTATGGCATTCATGGCTCGGTCAATTATGGACAAGAGAAAAAATCTCAGAGGACGAAAACAATAAGAAATAACTGTTACTGTGCACAGACCGAGCTCAGGAATAAGAAAGGCAGCTTTTGTCTCGGTATAGACTACAGAGTAAACGGAAAGACTGTTCCAGGAAAATGTCACCTTATATATTTAGCTCTGATCTTGCTTACTTTTGTGTAGATCACCGCTCAATGTACCTTTTATTAGCAGAGGTATTTTTGTTCCCTGATAATCCAAAATTTAGCAAAAATTTTCAACATTTGACCAGCCTTTAGAAAAGATAATCACTGCCATAAATCGTTAATGCCACTAATTCAAAACTGAGATCTTGTTTCTAATCTTGACTGTTAAATGCAGCTCAACACTGAATATTGAATGATAACCTAACACGCTCTCACCAAATACGGCTCAAAAATCACGTTGTTAATGAAGACTTCCATAGCTTGCCAACATAAGCATCTCTTCCAATTTACTTTTTGTCCAAACGAATTTCCAGTCAGGAACACAAAAGACACTGACGCGTCAAGTCTAGGTTAGACGATAATTTCAGTCTCAATGTTACGTACCTTCTCAAGTAAACACGCATGATAAAATAAGGACAATAAGATTAATTTATCAGTGAAATCAGTGAGATCACTAAGTGCCTTAGCTGAGACGATGATCAGTGATCTGGCGATGTCTTTACCGTTTTCACTTTTTGAACCTGAAATCGTGAGGAGCCAACATATAAGATTAATGAAATATTTCACGACTCTCAAGATCCAGTTGGTAATTCTCCCAGCAGACAGTTATACATTTCCTTGTAAATTCAATTAGAGAACTTGGTGTCATATTAAGATAACATAATCAGGCC